CTTTTAAAGGTTATATATACATGTTAGTTTAGTTGCTCTTGAAGTTCTTGAAGATTTTTATTCAGTGGGGGAGGAGAACAGTGTCAGTGACCCCAAACAGTCCAGTCACAGACATATATAGGATACCAACTGTATTAGAATCATTGAAGACAACACTTGTTTAACCATGAAGTCTTCTACAAAGTTTTATATAAGCTCCCAGAAATTAAGAGGTATGGAAGAGGCAGAGAGACTGCTCAAATACCAATTCAGGGTTTATTGTTCAGGCAGGATCCCTGTGAAGGGAGACCCCAGCAAGAGAGCTAGAACCCATTGCCATACACAGGCTTGGGCTGGATATAGGGGGATAGTGGAAAAGTACCAGGAAGGTCACTAAGGGATATAGTTGCTGGGCAAACAAGAAAGATAAGTTGTAGTAGTAGGTCACTGTCTGCCCAACTGTCCTTGGCATCTATCCAGGGAGATAAGGTAAGCCATCTGCAAGGTGGAGGGGTCTAGTCCTAACTGGGCTGTTCTTGTTGTTAACGCCAACAAAAACCAACTCTTAAATGAGCATGACTCAGTTACCTTAGTAGTTAAAACGCCTACAGAAATCACCAGAAACCACAGGTAAATATTTATGGGGACTAAGTGTGGAGTTAGGAAACATAGTGGCCAAGAATCATGGCTCAGATGTTGATAAGGGATCATATCTCAGATTGTTGACATTAACAGATGGCTCATGACATAGAGCAGGATCCATTCAACCTGTAGTCAGTGGAGGCCCCCTAAAATAATAGCCCCATCTGGTCATCCCAGGCCAAAAATTCCCTCTGCCTGACATGTGGAAGCGTTAGGACTAACACTTCCACTCTGTTAAGTCTAATAAAAATTGGAGGTCTTGACTTCCAGTGTAGTGTTCCTTTTTGAATTTTTAATTAATTTATTTATTTACTTTTTATCCTATCTGGAGGGTGTACTTTGGCTTTGCTTTACATAAATAAATCTCTCAACCTTTATATCGGTGCAGCAGCACTCCCTGTGCTCAGCTGCCTCTTGTCTTTTTTGTGTTGTAATAAACACTTGTTGTCTTGACAAATTTGTGGATTAACTTGTAGCACCAAAAATTTTTGATAATTATCTTGACAAAATAAAAACCAGTTTTTCAGACAATTTTTTGTAAATGTTATTAAGAACACTAGAATATTTTAAAGATAGCCTTGTTGTTATAATCTTAGAAAATTAAGTTTTAATTTAAAATCAGCACATTAAATTTTGACCTTACAAAACCTTTAATGTAACTCTAAGATTTTAGTTGACTTAATCACTTACATAAGCTTCTATATCTTTGTGACAACTTACTATGTACCCTCTGGGGGAGCTTGTCAGTATCCTTTTTTTTTTATCTGAAAGTATTATTGTTTTAACCTTTTATTTTTTAAAAACCATATCCTTAATATCTTTTATATTTTTTGTTATTTCTTGAAAATAACTTATAAAACCATTTAACTTAGAAACCTTACATTTGTATGAAAAAACAAGAAAGAAAGCAACCTTGACATTATTTTTGTAGAAAATCAATTTGTAGAAAGCTCATTTGTTAATAGACCCAAGTATTATGAGAGAGAATTTAATTCCAGATTATATTTAAGGCAGAATGAAGCATGCGAAAGTCATTTCTTTTTTTTTTTGAATTTTAAAAATTTGTACTTTATTTTATAAATGATGGTAATCATCTAAAGGTTTTGGTCAGAGGAATGAAGTGGTCTGAGCTGGGTAATAGAGATTCATGACTGTGCTTTATGGTACTGGCTGTGGAAAGGAAATCTAGAAGAAGAGACATGAGTGGGGACTATACTGCAGTAAGACAAACAAGAAGTCACACTGTGTGACAACCAAGGGCAAGACAGTCCCGAGAGATAGTATAAGGAAGAATCTCTTGGACCTATCATAGGCAGATGGGCCAAAGGAGGGCAGGTCAATGATGACTTCAGGTTTCAAGCCAGGGCGAGGTGGACGATGGCAGGGCATTGTCCTGGAAGATGGAGGTAGAGGAGCAGTGTGTTGGCACAGTAGTTGGTCATGAATGATGTGTATGAGAATGAATCACTTGGGAGCTTTTGAAGTCAATGCTGTAGGGAGTTTGGTGATGGTACATATCTTGATTGTAGTAATGGCTACACTTAGCTACACATGTGATAAAACTGCATCCAGCTGTCCACCCCAACATGAATGCCTGTGTCACTGGACAGATCTGAACATACTCCATGGATTGTGGCAACATCAATGTCCTGGTTTTGATATTGTACTGTAGTCTTGTAAGGCGTTACCATGGGAAGGCTGGGTGAAGAGTGGATGGGACCTTCTTGTACATTTATGTGTATCTTTAATTACTTCAAAATATAAAGCTTAAGCAAACAAGCCCAATGCTCTCCCAGAAGATTGTATATCATTTAGTTTGATGTGAATTCTGGACATCACTGTTTTAAAATCCTTCTGAATGATTCACAGCTCTGGATGAGAGCCTAATTAAATGAAAAGGCGTACTTCACTAGTACACGTGTTGAGTTTCCAGTGTGTGCCATGAAAGGGATGTATTCTGGGCTCAAATGTGAGATCATGGATTCTAGGTCTCTCTCCATGCTGAGTAAGAGACCACAGAAGAGTCCCTTACAGCTCAGCTTCAGCTCCTTTCTCTGTGAAATGGTGATGCTAATCGTCCCTTGCTTGTCCTATATACCTGAGGCAAGTGACAAAACCTGTGACTGTGTTGTCCCATCCCAGCCCTGCCCCACCCCCATTTCCAGGTGACTAGCACATAGCTATCGAACTGTACACCCAGAGCCAAAAGAAAATGTGGGCAAAAGTTATTTCTTTAACTACCCAAACTCCAAGATGTTTGTTGCAAGCTGTGCCCTCCCCCTTTTCTTTTCTTTTTTCTGTCTCTCCTCTGGTCTGAGCTGGAGTATTAACCCCTGAATGCCTGAATCTTAGTGAGACCAGATTGAAATAAGTTTAATAACCTGTTTTCTTAAAAGCAGCAATAGAACACAATGATAATTTTTGTATTGACTGTATAATAAGAACTGTTTTCAAGATGTTTCTGTATATACACACACTGTGAGCATACCATTAGATGGATGCATAAGCTGACCAGACATTAGCAAGGGAAACATAAGCTTATCTCATGACTGTCTCAATAACAGACAAAGCTTACTGCACCATCCTTTTGGACTACCCTTTAGGTAGGTTCTCCCTGTTTATGTTCCCTTGAAGTACAGGTGCCAACAAGTTCTGTATTTCTGGCATATTTTAATAATCCCAAATTGTTTTCTATTTACTTTTTATTTTTAAGACATAAAACTCAGCTGAAGGAGTATATTAAACCTTTTATCCTTTTTTGTCTCTAAACATTTTATGATATTTCATTTTTCTCTCTTTCTTTTCTTTTTTATCCATGAAGACTTTATCCCAATTTTGTTTCCATTCTTGCATTTTCCCCTCTCTACATTCATAACCCTTTTGCAACATTCCTTGTCTTTTAAGTCAGACCATGGACTTGTATCAGTGCAAGTCCATCCTTAGTGTGTTAATTTTTGTAAGAGCCCAGTTAGTGCTGAGCCTCAGTCCTCCTTCAGGATGCCCAATTTGGATGAACATGTGCAAACTGGGGCACCAAAGCTATCCATGAAGACTGAAAGACTGATTTTTCCTTAGTCGGCCCAATAAATTGATACCTGATCTTAAATAAACAACAGAGTCTGAGTTTTGACGACCAGTTTTAGCTTCTTGACTTTTTCCCATTCTCCTGGGTGTTAGGGTTTTTGGGTTTTGTTTTGTTTTTACAATTACTCTTTAAACTTTATTAATCATGCTTTTATCTAGTGACCCTTACTGGGTCCTACACCAAAAGCAGACCAATCTACTTTATAAATGATGTTTAACTTGTTGGAAGTTAACTTTATTTCCGTAGTCTCCATTAAATCCCTTTATAAAGTTATTAATCATACACTCCAAGAGAGTGTTTTTACTCTGATTTCCACCCATCTCCTCCTGTTACCAAATGGCAAGACAGACATGGGTGTCTTGTGTGAAGTGGTTTTGGAAAAGCACTTGATTCGTCCATCTCCTGCCACTCCCCTTGCAGGGACTTAGGCGACTCTTTCGCCCCAGTGAGTCCATAAAAACCCTGGACCTGAGGCCCCACTGGGGCTCACACTTGACTTCATGAGTTCACCATGGAACCTAGGATCAGGACTCCTCACTCACTTCGCAGCTGGGCTACATCTCAGGCTCACGCTTTTATACACTCTCACATGGCACACCCTACTCCTTAAACAAGAGTGACATGGTTTCCCCTCAACAGGAAGTTAGTAGCGGTCTCTGTAAGGTGACCAGACTCCCCTTCTGCCTCCTGAGGCAGGCCTGAATTCGAACCCAGGTGCTTAGCATTATGAAGCATGGTGCTCCTGAATTGGTTCCAGTGCCTCAGTGCATTCCTTTGAGCATCCGACACCCTTGCCCCACTTGCTGAGAGGATGAATCTCCCCTCCAGATCAAGTTGTCCATTGTCACCTGGTGGGAACTCCTACCAGCCCTCTGGGGGATGCACCCTGGTGACAATGGAGGTGATAACTCACTGTCTCCCATAATCCCGGCAAGCCCTCAAGTAACGTTGTGGGAAATTATGACTGAGATAATTTATGAGGTATATTAGCACAAAGCAACATTTATTGTCCAGGCACAGACACAGAGGACTGGTGTCCAAAGGCTGAGCCCTGAGAACAAAGGGGTCTCACCTTATAGACCCTTGCAAGCAGGTTATAGAAGCAGAAAGCAAAGCTCAACCCATATATGATTGCATGTGACTTCATTGGCTATTTCATTTCCCCAGTGCAATGTGATCTTCATGTTTAAATTCTTTAAGTTTTATCTCTCTGCTTTGCCATTTCCTCCCCTGTCTCGTTATCAGCATACAGCCTGTCTGTTTTTTTTTTTCTGGTCTCCCCACCCTTGCTACACTAGTTGCTGCTCTCTCACCTCTCACTATCCTCTTCACTGCACTCAAGGCCTACTGGGGACCTCCAGCACCTGTAAGTACCAAATGCTTTTACCAGACTCTCTCCTCATGGCTTATCATTGAAGCCAAATATGAAATCAGATTTTGGATGGTGAAGCCCAAAGTTAGGTAAGTGGGTCTCCTGCTGGGGGCTGCTAAGAAGAGTAGCTATGAACTGAATTGATATAGAAACTTAGAGTTTTGTCCTAACAGACATAATTGAAAAATAGAGTAAAAGCAATCTTTTATATATGCATATATATGTCTTATTAATATTTATATATATAAATGCCACATTGCATTTGTGAATCCCTTTACCCCTGATGGTGACTTACACACAGCAACTCCAGCCTTCTCCAGACTTAATTTTGCTGACAGAATTGTGACTGTTTCCATCTGTCCCTTTCACAGAAAGGATAAAACATACAGGGAGGCTCAACGTGTCTCGTTGTCAGGGTTCCTTCCTCTCTGCGAGTCTCCTCGCAACTGTCACAGGGAATTGGGGTGCAGACTTGGGGTAAAAGGGAGGAGAACACAACGCATGGACTGACCTTCATTTGGGTAGTGTGCTCAAGACTGGTCCTCATCCTATAGATTACCTTCAAGAAATGCCCATGTCACCATGGCTAATTTGAAGGAAACTATATCCTCTGGGTTGAGGAGCAGGTGACTGATTAACAAGAACACCCTTGAATCAAACCTAGGAAACCAAAAGACCAATCCTTCCAAAAAGGCTTTCAACAAATTTGCCAAACCACTGAGTTCACCTCTCACCCTCCCACACCAGTTTTTTGGCTTTTTTCTGGGTACTTGGATGTGATCCATGATGTAGATCAGGTGTCATTTGTACAGGGAATGGATGAACTGATCTTTCCTAAGAAATACTCATCTGGAATCTTCCCACAGAAGTTATACCTAGAACCACACTGTGTTCAGGACTCCTTCAACCTGCTGCAAACAGGAGCAGGCGTGCAGCAGGGAAGGGCAGCATTGAAAATAAGTTGAGTGGAAGAAGTTTGGAAGATGAGCCATGAGAAGTCCCCCAAATCACTGCTGTCCAATAAGGATAGAAGGTGAGTCATACCCATAGCTGAAGTTTACCGATATATATATATATATATATATATATATATATATATATATATGTAGGTATGTAGATACATAGATAGATACATAGATAGATAGATCGATAGATAGAATGATAGATAGATAGATAGATAGATAGATAGATAGATAGATAGATAGATAGATAGATACAGTGCATAAGCATGCACCCTACCACTTGCACCATGGCCCCAGCACATTTTTTTCCTTTAGCAATGTTTTTAGGTAGCATCTTCCGTTTTCCCCAGGGCCAGCATGGACCGTGGTCCTCCTACTTATGGCCTCTCACATAGCAGGAACCAACAGCGAGCACCAAGGATTTCATGCTTATTTGTTGAGATTTGGTCTCACTAACATTTTTCCTGACTGGCATCAAACCACTGTCATCCAAATCCCCACTTCATGCCTGGGATTACCAGTGTGAGCCACTATGCCAGGACATATAATCATATTTTAAAAAGTAAAAAGAAGCAGGTGCAGTTAAGTTTTTATCCACTTAATTTTATATTTTAGCAAAACACACAATATCATAAAATTTACTCATTTAAACCATTTTAAAGTAAACAATTCAAGGTCATTTACACATTTACAGTGTGGTCCAACTGCCACCAGTATCTATCTACTCCAGAACATTTTCATCATCCTGAAAGGAAGCACCACATCCACTAAGCCTCACTCCATTTCTCCCTCTCCCAGCCCCTGGCACTTACTAATGTACTTCCTATCCCCATGGGTTTTCGTGTTGTGCATGTGTCATGTAAGTGGGATCGTGCAATGTGTGGTCTTTGTGTTGTCTGTGTCACTGGCTTTGTCTCTTCAAGGTTCAGTTACACTGTGGCATGCATGAGAATCTTTTTGCTAGGTGGTGTTTCATTATATGAGAGACAACATTTTTATTCATTTGTCACTTGATGGACATTAGGGTGTGTTCTAGTTTATAGATATTATGAATAGAACCAATATGAACATTAATGTACACATTTCTATTAAACACCTGCTTTCAATCTCTTCACTATATACCTGATAGTGAGATGACTGTGTCATTTGATAATTCTGACTAACATTTTCATGAACCACTGAATGGTTTCCACCATGGCTGCACCATGTCATCAGTCTTTTCTTAACTGTTATTAATTGCACAAAAGAAGGGGTTGCAGTATGACATTCTCATATTTGTATACTATATGCTTCAATCATCTTCACCTCCCATCACCCTCCGTTTTCTCCCACTCATCCCTCTAAATAGTCCCCCTTCTGCTTTCATGTCTTTTTTCAAATCCAGATTCCACATATGAGAGAGAACATACAATATGTGTCTTTCAGAGTCTCACTTCACTTAACATGATGATCTCCAGTTCTATCTTTATGCCAATTATATGTCCCTATGTCCAAACTAATGGCTTAAGTACAGTGAAATTTACAGGGTTACAGGTGCCACAGTTGCAGTCAGGGGCAGCTTTCCCTTTGTGAAGGAGAGCTGTGTGCTTAGTCCTCTGCCATATGGCCCATGAAACACAACTTCAATAAGGACTAATAAGAATCCACATCATCACATGGTCAAGAGTTGTCCCCCTGGCACATATACTTATCCTTTGATGGATAGGCTCCTTACCAAGCTAAGCCCCCACAACCATAGCTTATACTTCCATATGCACCCTTGTCTATGGCTACACATGCATCAAAGAACCTTGATGCAGGTTTATCTGGACTAAACACTGATAAGGTTCCTGGGAACCGGCTGATAAGGTTCCCAGGATTGTGGACACTCCTGATCCCTAACCATTGCTTCTGGGGGTGATAAGTGGGGTTGAAGCAGATATGCTGATTACCATGGGAACACATAGAATACACAGTATGGTTGTGAGTGTATGACAGTGCCTGCACAAGAATGGTAAGTATGGAATAGCAAAATCCTAGTGACAACATTTCCTGCCCAAATAGTATGCATACATAGGCCACAGGAGGAGGGCTCTGAGGCCATAAAGGGAAACCACATCAGTAACAATAAACAGTAAGTATGCATCCTTCCAAAAAAGATTAGATGAGAGCAAACAAAAACCTTTCACCATGAGTCCAATCAGCAGGGATGTTTTTTGCCAGACCTATGGCAAATATTATGGTAAGAATTATAGCAACAAATACAAACAAAGGGTGACAATACATCGCAGTGAGATAAGTGGGGTAAAAAAAGTACATTGTCCCATTAGAGAGTTGATTCCTCAAGCTTCTGCAGTGCGTAGACCAGTCAGCTTCCAAGGTGTGAGTAGAGCAAGGCTGTTGTCCTGTCGTTCTTGGTCCCCTGTTGATTCCTGGGAAGCAGAGTCTTGCCAGAGGAGGATACTCAGATTCCAGAGGGTGATCCTACATGGTGAGGCTGGGTCAGGGATGCACTCCCATTTGAGAGAAGCAGGTTTGACTCGGCTGTGGTGGATCCAAGAAGCAATTTCTGCTACTTTAACTGTGGTGGAAGTAGACAGAATAACAACAGAAGGGCATCTCCGTGGGGTTTTAATGGGTGGACATTTTATATATTTTTTTATCTGTGCAATGTCTTTTTTTTTTAACTGAGTACATTTACCATGGCAACAGTATATTCTAAAACCACCATCATTAGGCATCAAAGGACATGTTTAGAGACAGTGAAACTAGTTATTTTGCCTCTCTTTAAGTAGAAGACCCTGCCTAAAAATATGAGTTTGTGTCTAGAAGGGCTTTAATGCCAGGTAGCCACATGCATAAGAATCATTTCTTTAATCCTCTCAGCCTTAGTTATTTTTGAGAGGTCTGGCATTAGTGACTCCATTGGATCTTTGATGGCATTCCCTCCTTGTCTCCAAACTGCTTGTCTCTGAGCAGTCTCTTTTGAGTATCTGTCTTCCATCCAAGTACATAAATAAATCTGTCTGAATCTTTTTATCAGTGCAGCAGCACTCCCTGTGCTCAGCTGCCTCATGTCTTTTTTGTGTTGTAATAAACACTTGTTGTCTTGACAAATTTGTGGATTAACTTGTAGCACCAAAAATTTTTGATAGTTATCTTGACAAAATAAAAACCAGTTTTTCAGACAATTTTTTGTAAATGTTATTAAGAATACAATATTTAAAAGATAGCCTTGTTGTTATAAGCTTAGAAAATTAAGTTTTAACATCAGTAGATTAAATTTTGACCTTCAAAACCTTTAATGTAACTTTAAGATTTTAGTTAACTTAATCACTTACATAAGCTTCTATATCTTTGTGACAACTTACTATGTACCCTCTGGGGGAGCTTGTCAGTATCCTTTTTTTTATCTGAAAGTATTATTGTTTTAACCTTTTATTTTTTAAAAAGCATATCCTTAATATCTTTTATATTTTTTGTTATTTCTTGAAAATAATTCATAAAACCATTTCGCTTAGAAACCTTACATTTGCATAAAAAAAACAAGAAAGAAAGCAACCTTGAAATTATTTTTGTAGAAAATCAATTTATAGAAAGCTCATTTGTTAATAAACCCAAATATTATGAGAGGGAATTTAATTCCAGAATATATTTAAGGCATTATGAAACACCCGAAAGTCATTTCTTTAACTACCCAAACTTCAAGAGGTTTGTTGCAAGCTGTGCCCCCACCTTTTCTTTTCTTTTTCCTTTTTTTTTCTGTCTCTCCTCTGGTCTGAGCTGGAGTATTAACTCCTGAATGCCTGAATCTTAGTTGGACCTGATTGAAATAAGTTTAATAACCTGTTTTCTTAAAAGCAGCAATATAACAGAGTAATAATTTTTACCTTGACTGTATAATAAGAACTGTTTTCAAGATGTTTCTGTATATACACACACTGTGAGCATACCACTAGATGGATGCATAATCTGATCAGGCATTAGCAAGAGAAACATAAGTTTATCTCATGACTGTCTCAATAACAGACCAAGCTTACTACACCAACCTTTGGGAACTGTTTTTTTCTTTAATAGCAACAGTCAAAATTGCTCTTTTCCTTCCCCTTTTAGGTAGGTTCTCCCTGTTTATGTTCACTAGAAGTAAAGGTGCCAGCAAGTTCAGTATTTCTGGCATATTTTTATAATCCTAAATTGTTTTCTATTTACTTTTTATTTTTAAGATATAAAAACTCAGCTGAAGGAGTATATTAAACCTTTTATCTTTTTTTGTCTCTAAACATTTCATGACATATCATTTTTTTCTCTCCTTTTCTTTTTTTTATTGTTCACTTATTCACATGTGCCTTCCTTGTTTGAGTCATTTCTCCCTTCTGTGCCCACCCCAACCATCTCCCCCCACTTTCAGGCAGAACCTGTTCTGCACTTTTCTCCAATTCCATTGATGAGTAGAAATAAGCAATAATAAGAAAGACCTATATAGCATTTTTGATAGTTGAGATAAGGACAGCTATACAGAGGGATTCCTAGCATTGCTTTCATGTACAAATGTGTTACAACCCAGGTTGATTCATTTCTAACTCGTCTTTACACTGGTTCCTGATCCCCTTTTCGTGTTGACCTCTGTCACTTTAAGGTTTCTGTATTCTTCTGCAGTGGGGACATCAAATGCTTTCATGTTTTGGGTTTTCTATCTAACCCCGTACCTCCCATATATATTATCCCCTTGTAATGAACTCAAGTCCTACGACATTGCTATATTTGCCCTTGATCTAAAGACCACATATGAGGAAGAACATACGATTTTCGGTCTTCTGAGTCTCTCTTCCACACCAGTTTTTTTGGTTTTTTTCTGGGTATTGGATGTGATCCATGATGTAGATCAGGTATCATTTCTACAGGGAATGGATGAACTGATCTTTCCTAAGAAATACTAATCTGGAATCTTTCCACAGAAGTTATAACTAGAACCATACTGTGTTCAGGACTCCTTCAACCTGCTGCAAACAGGAGCAGGCGTGCAGCAGGGAAGGGAAGCACTGAAAATAAACTGAGTGGAGGACTTAGGGAAGATGAGCCATGAGCAGTCCCCCAAATCACTAACATTTTCGTGAACCGCTGAATGGTTTCCACCATGGCTCCACCATGTCATCACTCTTTTCTTAACTGTTACTAATTGCACAAAAACGGGGGCTGCATTATGACATTTTCATACTTGTATACTATGTGCTTCAATCATCTTCACCTCCCATCACCTTCCATTTTCTCCCACTCATCACTCTAAATAGTTCCCCTTGTGCTTTCATGTCTTTTTTCAAATCCAGATTCCACATACAAGAGAGAACATGCAATATGGGTCTTTCAGAAACTCACTTCACTTAACATGATGATCTCCAGTTCTTTCCAATTCCCTGAAAATGATATAATTTGTCATCCTTTATAGCTGAATCACATTTGATTGAGTATATAAATCATATTTTCTTTATCTTTTCATCCATTGATGGACACCTCATCTGATTGTATGGCTCAGCTATGGTGACTAGTGCTGCATGGGTGTGTAGGCAAATCTGTAGCAAGCAGACTGATTACCTCAAGTATTTACACAGAAGTCCTTGCTGATAACCTTACTAGAATATTGTACAGTCATCCCTCAGTAACCTTGGAGAATTCCTTCCAGAGCTACCACCAGCCCACTATGCAGATACAAACATCCTCCAATGCTCAGTTCCCTATATAAAATAGTGTAGTATTTCTATAAAACCTATACAACCTCTCATGTACTTTAAATCCTCTTTACAATACCTAATAGAATGTCAATACTATGTAAATAGTTGTTATACTACACTGTTGAGGGAATAATGAAAAGAAAATGTATATCTTCAGTACAGATGAAATTGTTTCATAATATTTTTGATCTGAGGTTCATTACATTTCCAGATATGAACACTGTGGAGGGTGAGTGAGGGCCAGAAGTGTTCATATTCACTATATCCCACGTAATTTCAGAAGTCAGCACTATAAAAGTTACTAAAGCCGGGTGCCAGTAGCTCATGCCTATAATCCTAGCTTGCTGGGAGGCTGAGATTGGGAAGATCTAGGTTCCAGGTCAGCCCACGCAAAAAATTCTGAGACCCCCCCCCATCTACAAAATAACTGGAGGTATGTCTGCTTTGCAAGTGTGAAGAGCTGAGTTCAAACCCCAGACCCACCAAAGAAACAAAATTATCACTGAAATATTGTTGATTTCTGTGCCACGCACACACAGCACTTCTCCATTCCCATGAACCATGTTTGTTCAATAATCACCCAGTGCTGGTGGCTACTTTTTTAGACAGCACCACTCTATAAAACATAAATTCTATGTTTTATTCTTTGTCTTTCACTACGAATTTTCTGGAGTTTGTTGTTTCTGTTTTGTCTGGGAAAGCCATGGGGTTCGCATCACTCCCGAGCTCCAGAAAGAAGAAATGGAAGCTGTGGACAACCGCAAGCTGCAGGTGGTGATGTCTCTGAATAAACTGGGCATCAAAGCTGATGAGGTAAGGTTGGAAGATATTCCTGAGGGGCTGGTGTTTGACCCCACAGTGCCTGGGGTGTGAGGGCACAGGATTAGCAGAGGAGAAGGGAAGAAATAGAAGGATACAGATCTGTACTGCTAGAGCATTCACACGGGAGGGACATTTCCCCTGCCCAAGGGGGAGCTTAGGCATCCATGTTGTTCCCAATACTGTCCCCCCTGACTCTGAACCTCCAACTGTCCTCTTTGCAACACTCAGGCACCAGTCATTGCTGTTCTTGGCTCCGGCGGGGGTCTGAGGGCACACTTTGCCTGTCTTGGGGTCCTGATCCAGCTGAAAAACCATGGCCTGTTGGATGTCATCACATACCTTGCAGGGGTCTCAGGCTCCACTTGGTAAGTTGTGTTTCTGGAATGGAGGGCAAGGGTTGTTTCAACACAAAAATGAAAGAATTTTCCTCTTGACACCAAATGCATTTTTCCTTTTTCTAAATGATAGAAGATTAAAAATGTGCATTTTATGGGGTATACTGTGATGTTTCGGTACCTGTGTACCTTGTGTATTGATCACTCACAAAACTTAGATTATCCATTATTTCAAACATTTATCATTTCTGTGTGACAATGACATTCACAATCATTTCTTCTAGCTATTTTGAATTATGTAATACAATATTGCTGATTATACTCACCCTGCATTTAATAGAACGGCATAACTTACTCCTCATTTCTCTGTGTTGTGGGTGCCACACCAGGGTGTAAACTCAGGGCCTCCTGCTTGCTGGGCAGAAGCTCTACCACATGAGCAACAATCCAGCCCATGTTTCCTTAAATTATTTTTTAGATAGGGTCTTGTGTTTTTGCCCCAAGGACATCCTTACTAGCTGGGATGAAAGGTACATGACACAAGACCTGGGTTAATCATTGAGATGGGGTTTTGCTACCTTTTTGCCTGGCCTTGCCTCAAACTGCAGTCCTCCTGATCTCTGCCTTTGAAGCAGCTATGATTCTAGGAGTAGGTCACTGTGTCAGTGTGTGTGTTTGTATGTGTGATGCTAGGAGTTAAACCCAGGATCTTGCTCATGCTAGGCAAGTGCTCTACACTGAGCTACTTCCCCAGCCAGGAATATATTCCTACTTATCTAGTTGTGACCTTGTATCTCTCCTCTCCTCAGCACCCTGCCTTCCCTCCTTCCTTCTGTTAACCCTATTCTGTCTTTCCTAACACCACTTCTCCAAGTCTCTGTCACTACTGTTGTCCCACAATCAGTTTCCTTGTGATAGGATTTACAGAAAGTAAGCCACCAGGCTCACAAGTAAAGGTGGCTCAGTCCCATAAGACTGGCTCCATTTCAAACACCAGTCAAAAAGTTCCCAATCACCAGGACTTTTGAAAGACTGGTCATAAATCAGGGGTTCCCACAATCTTCCCCTAGGGTTTGATAATTTCCTAGAACAGGTCACTGACCTCAAGGATGCACTTCCTTTACATTTACAATAAAGGAGACAATTCAGGAACAGCCAAGTGCAAGAGATGCATACCACAGGGCTGAGATGGAGGTGGGCCTCCATGCCTTCTCTGAGCCACCACGCCCTGTATCTCCATGTGTCCCCAGCACAGAAGGTCTCTGCCCCTGTCCTTTAGGAAATTTAATGGAGGTTTCATTACATATCCATAATGCTTATATCACTAGCCACTGGTGTCCAAACTCCATCTCCAGCCCCTCTTACCTTCCCCTCCCCAGAGTCTGGGGAGTGAAGCTGAAAGTTCCAACCTTTGGGCCAGGTTTATACTTTCCTAAGGCTTTCCAGCAGTCCTTCAGCCAAGAGTCACCTTATTAGAACCAAAGGTGTTCCTGCCACCCTTATTATCAGAAAACTCCCAGGAGATCTGTTCCAGGACCTGAGACAACCATCAGTATCTTTCTTGTGTCACAGAAGACCAGTAACAAAGCATGATAACTACTTCCTGACTTTAAAGCAGTCTTTACAGGTTCAGGTACAGTATTCACATTTTAGGTGGGTGGATTTGTCACCCTTTATAAGAAAGTATTGAACTCAGCCTCTGTAGGACTTTCTCATTCAAAAGTCTCCAGACAGCAGTTCTCAGCATTCATGCCTGTGTCCCTGCTTCCACACGAAGGGCAGACATTGCTAATCAACCTTGACACATTTTTCTGTGCAGAGATTAGGTGGACTGGCTTTTCAGCTGGGTGTAGTGGATGAGGTTAATGGCTAATGGGATAACAGTGTGAAGAAAAGCAATGCAGGACCTAGGAGTGAGGCAGCCCCTGGGGCCTGTGTTCCCAAAGCTAACTTCTGAGTGACAGGGCATGAGGGTTAGCAGAACTGCCTTAGTGCTCACCTCCAGGGGGTGCTGTGGAAACAGGAATCAAAAGACATCTTTCCTTCTATAGCTCCTTGGGGGTACACAGCACTGCAGCAAGTGATAAGGAAGGCAGGCCTTCCATCCAAAAGCTTTGATTCAATTCCCAGAGCTGTCCTTTGTGGGCTGTGAGAAACACAGACGTCCCCTCTATGTACCTTGGTTTCCTCGCAAAGAGGATACCAGTACTAATCTTAGCAATTAGTAATGTAATTTGGAGACCAGGGACAAGATTGGCTAACAGGTCCCAGGTCAAATCCAGATAAGGAGAAATAAATCTGGTTGTCTTATTACACTCAGGGTGACTGCAATTAGTTATCTCTTAATAATTGCAGAGAGCAGTTGTGAGAATTAAATGATGCAACACATTGAAGCATTCAAACCAGCATGAAATTGGAATATTATGCTCTAAGCTCAACTCTGGGGGTCCCACCTATCAGTTCCATGCAGCAGGGGTCACCACGTAAAAAGAGACAGAGTAAGCACTTCAGCCCATCTTATTGTACAGACGTGAGATATAGGCTTAAGTAGAGAACAGATTTGAGGCAGGGACGAAAGGTCTGCATAATTATTAAACAGTACTGTCAAGGTATGGCCTGGCTGATCATTATCTCAATTCTGGTCCTGCAAGGTCCTTATTGCTGTCAATTAGGAGCAGCCTCGAACTCTTGTCATACAGATTTACTGAGCAGTCCTGTCCTGTCATTCAGGATTCCAGGATGAGAGAAGGTTTAGGAAAGTTGCTAGATGCTTAGAGGCACAATTTTGAGGGACAAGACTGGTTATGTACCACTGATTTTAGACACACTCCTTGAATGATTAATATGCCTACGTGGAGAATTAAGTAGGAGTTTGACCCAAAGATTTAACACAAAAGAGACAGATGCAAAATGGACACAGGGATACCACACTTTTCTCCTCCTTTTACTAAACTCATTGGCCCAAGTGAGAAGTTAATACTTTTCAGCAAAGCAGTTTCTGCTTACTTGTTATAGCCTCATTAAAAAGTAAAAGGGAACAGTGACATTAGTTGTGATGTGTATTTTCTGCATAACTCATATCTAAACTGTTAGTGTTTTGACACATAATTGATATGGACATTATTAATGAGATATTTGATGTACCTTTTGTCAGACTAAGTCTTTGAAAGCTATGCACACTTTCCACACATAGCACCTTCTGGTTTGATGCTGAGGTCTCGCTGGATGTTAACATGAACTGCACGTGGCAAAGGAGTTGTCCATACCCAACTGGTTCCAAAAGTCTTCAAGGTTTCCCAGAAACTGAATGGAATACCTATGTTTAAATTTTTTTTAAGTTATTTAAAATTAAATAAAATTGAGAATTCATTTTTTGAGTCACAGTAATCACATTGCAAGTGTTGAAGTGCTGCACGTGGCCAGTGTTTATCTTATTGGAAAGCACAAGTGTAGACAGAGAGCCTTCAATAGTGATAACATGAGCATCACAAATATTTATTCAGAGAAGACATAGATATAGAGTTTCCTTAATGGAAGTGGCAAGGTGTTCCCTTTTGAAAACTCCCCTACATAGGCTTGGTCTCAATTCATTGCTCTAATGCACTCTGTGGGAAATAAAATGGGAAGGTTATGGATTATCTGGAGAAAAGTCCAGTTTGCCTTCATGTTCCCTGAGTGTGTGATCTTGAGGAATTTGCTTTTAACCTCTCTATGTATCAGTGTTTTATCCTGTGAATTGAGAATGACCTTGCCAGTCCCTTTCTTGGTTGGTTATGACAATGACAAGACCATCACATGCAAACACTTGATAAATGTCAGTCTGGACAAATATGATTTGGCTCTCAAGAGTCATTTCTTTTCTGTTGCTCTCATTTTCCTGCTTGTAACATTGAAGAGTCTTCCCAGAGGATGCACAAGACCTGTATTGAGCTTTATCATTCTTCAGTCTTACTTATATCATGTAAATTAATTTTTCATGTTTATTGTCCTTCCAGGAGCAAGGCATGTAAGGTTAATGACTTCCTCACATTCACTGTTCTCAGCCTTCTCCATGCACATTTTCAATCTTCAGGCTTGTAATGTGGCAGATATGAAGCACTCACACCTGTGAGCCTGTTTCCAAACGACGAACAGACGTAGCTAATCAATTTCAGCACACTTTCCATGCAAAGATAAGGTGACACCTCTTTCTCTGTCCCAGGGCACTGTCCTCATTCTACACTAACAGTGGGAACGTGGAACACATTGAAGCTGTCTTGGAACATCGATTTGACCCGGAGAATTGGTCTATATGGGACAGCCTACAAAAAACCATCGAGGCAGCGAGTTTGGAGAATTACTCTCTCACTGATTTCTGGGCCTACATAGTTGTCTCCAGACAAACCAGAGAAGTAAGTCCCTCCAATTGGGCATGCAGGGCTCAGGTGTAGAGCCACCAAAGATCTTTTAAGACTTTCAGGTCTTCCAAATTTTGACACTTAGGTCTTGCCTACAGAAAATTATATTAGGATTCCTTTGGTTGCAAGTAGTAGAGTTAGATTCTGATTCCATTACTCAGAAAGTAAAGTAATATGACATACATGAAAGATGCAAGGGCAAGCCAGGTGCTGGTGCTGGTGGCTGATGACTATAATCCTACCTACTCGGGAGGCTGAGATCAAGATGATCATGGTTTGAGACCAGAAAACTTCATGAGAATTTGCAAACACTTCATGAGACCTCATCTCAACCAATAGCTGGGCACAGTGTCATGCACCTGTCGTCCCATGCTATGAGTCCGACATCAGGGGGATGGTGGTTCAGGGCCAGCCAGAGAAAAAACACTGGTGAGATTATCTCAACAGAAAAAGCTGGACATCGTGGTATGGGCCTCTTATCCCAGCTACCATACGAACGATAAAATAGGAAGATTATGGTCCAGATCAACCCGGGCTTTTGGCCCTATGTCCAAAGCAATCAGAGTGAAAATGGCAAGGGTCATAGCTCAAGAGATAGAGCACCTGCCTAACAAGTGTGAAACCCTGAGTTCAAAACCTTGTGCTGCAAAAAAAAATTAAAATAAAGATTCAAGGCCATCCAAAGGCAGCAGGTAACCATAGCAACTTTTCTCTCCCTCTCTCCTTGGCCACTTGATTTCTTGCATTTACCTCTCTCTGCTCTTGTATCTCATCAGTCTTACTCCTGCCAGACTACTGGTTTCTGCTTCTCCTTGTACTTGATGGGAAATGTTTCCCCAGCTCCAGAGTATCACTGTGCTCACCTGTATAACTGCCAGGTGGCTGGCCTTGTGGTCCAGCCCCTTATTGCCTGCTCAGTTCATCTCAGGGCAGGTGCTACCCGGGTTCTATGGTTATGGACCAGTGTGATCTCAGCACAGGTGAAGTTCTCACAGAAGGAGGGTCATGATCACTGTGGGGTGGAAGTCCAAAATGAGTGCATCCTCTAGTGGATCCCTTCTGTCTAACTGTTGGATTGGATCAATCAGCAGTTCCATTCTTAGAAACTGGAGCGGAAAGACATAGAAAGTCTGAGCTATGGAAGAGAGAAAGTGACTGAAATTAGTAGTAATGGTAATAGGGTTTCTATCAGACTGTAACCTGGGGGAAATAGGTGTCTATCTGTGCTATATTTCTCTCTGTCTCTCTCCCTTCTCCCCTCTCCTCTCTCTCTCCTCTTTTTCTTTCTCTTTGTGTTTGTTTTCTTTTGCACGTAATGGAGATAGGTCCTACGTCACTTGCTTGTTCTAGGCAAGTGCTCTTCCACTTGAGTCATACCCCAGCTGTCATTGTTTAATTTGTTGCTTTTGAGCATTATTGATGTATATTTTGTATACTCAAAATGGATTGACTATTCATATTTAACATTTACATTTTGATGTGTTTGAACATATGCATGTAGCCAGGCATCATCAGTACAATAAGGTACTCACCATTCTCATCTCCTTCAAAGGTTCTTATTCTCTTTTATGTTTGTTTGTGCATGAATAGACAGAAAAGACATTCCACTTCTATGTGGACTGTGTGTAAAAGCCCAACCCAGCTGGTGAAGGCATAATGGTGCCCTTGTGCTTGCACCACTCTCAATCTTGGTACCTTCTCTCCAAAGTTCCAGGACTCTCTTTTGTCCAGCATAAAGAAGCATGTGGAAAAAGGGACACTACCCTACCCAATATTTGCAGCCATTGACAATGACCTTCACCCTGTTTGGAAGGATCATAAAACCCGGAGTAAGCAAAAATTGGGAGTGGGAGGTAGTGACGGGTTGAAAGTCATTCACTGCAATGATGTGTCACTGACCCTTCTTTGGGAGCCCAGGAGCAAAAGGAGACCCTAGAAGTCACCAAATGGTACACACTTGCTTTGTGTGGATCAAGAAAGTTGTAACACAGGTGGGGGCAAGCTAACCAGTGTCCACTGTAAGCCTGTTTGAAATTGCTGCAATAAATCCCCCCTGTACAATGAATAAAAATGAAAAAAATAAAGTAACACAGGGTGTCTGGGGACCAAGGTGAGGGCAAGGAGCATCTCTCACTTCTGTCTTTTTTTAAAAAGTTTTATTAGTTTTTAATCATAGATTAATACTGTGAGGGGATTTCATTGCAGTAATGCCATAAATTTGTAAGATGGACTTTGTACAAGTTCATCTCCTTCATTGTATTTCCACTCCCCCTTTTCATAAGGTGTCTTCTGGGTTTCATTATGCTGTTTGGAAAATATACAGCACCTCTCACTTTCTACACATCATCTACCTCTGTGGTTCCACAACCGTCCAAATGCTGGTGACTTTCCAGAATCCCCATTTATCTTTTAATCCACAGTCTCTCTCCTCAGACTGACCTGCTGACCCAATTTCCTGTGCATAAAACAAACTGGTTTGTTTAACAATATCCCTTGATTTTTCATTATTCATTAGACATCATTCAAGTGCTTGTACATCCTCTGGCATTTCAAGGCTTAGAAGTCCCCAGGGTTCCCTCTTTCTCTCTCTCTTCCTAATAGAAATTCCTGTGCTGGTTTTCCACCATAGTGGGTAGAGTTGACCCCCTCTATCCACAAGCCCCCTAATCTAGTCCTTCCTCTAAATGCCTCTCCTCATTATCAACCATTATCCTCTTCTCCACCACTCTGAGCCCACCTTTGACCTTGTGTCTTAGTCACAATTACTCTGGTAATTACCTCCTCACTGGCTTTTCTGCCCCACACCATCACCTTCTTTCATGTCTGCTGGATGGAAGATTCCAGAACAAACACCTAGTCATGTGATGTCCCTACTTACAATATTCCAGTGTCTCTCCAACACCGATAAATAACCCTCCATGCCATCTGGCTCTAGACATGTCTGCACCCCTCCCTTGATCTGGAGTTTGAGCTACAATGAGATGGAGGAGAAAGATGACAGTGAAGAATCAAGTTTGAGGAAATATTAGAAACAGGATGCTATGAAAATAATGAACTGCCAACAGCTGGATAAAAACTCTCAAAGTTCTGGAGAGGAGTTCTGAAGTCATTTCTGAGATTGCACATACTGCTTCTGATATTTTAGTGCCTTGGTTGTCATTTTCTTTTCCTGCATAACTGCTACATTCTAGGCTCTTGCTGATGACTTACCCTTGTATCCCCTCCCAGAATCCTGGTTTGAGTTCACTCCTCACCATGCTGGCTATCCTGCACTCCAGGCTTACATCCCCATCACCCAGTTTGGAAGTCAATTTGAGAATGGAAGATTAGTTAAATCTGCACCTGAGCGAGACCTTTCTTTCCTGAGAGGTCAGTACAGATCAAATGGGATTCAGTGGGGTTGAGAAGTAGAGAGGGGGAATGAGTGTCCCCCATAGGGTCTGGTTCTGCTCACCTCCTGCATTTCTGGGAGGAACTGGCCTTGCAGAGACCTTCCAGGGTAGCCCTGCAGAGTCCTCAAGTGTCTCTCATGGGCCTCCTTGGTGCAACACATACCTGATACCTTATCAAATGATCCAGGTGAAGTGATGTCATAAACAGGCTGAAATCCATGCTTGCATACAGTAAGATTCCAACTGTGGATGTGAGAGTTACAGGAGATCCGACAAGCAAAGCATCATCCCAGTGCCCAGTGTGTGGCTAGAACCCAAGGATAGTTAATGTCCATCAGTTCAACAAAGAGTTTTGAGATATCCAGTGAATCCATTGTGGAATCCTTATTCCCAGTCAGAACAGGGCCATGACCACTTTCTTCCTATGTCATATTCATCTCCTAAAATGCCCCACCATCTGTTCAGTTCCCGAAGCTGAGTCCTTCGATGCCATCTCTGACCTTACTTTTCTCCTACTCACCACAGCCAATCCAGCTGTAGTTCCTCTCCATCCCATCTCCAGGTTTCCACAATCCATCCACATCCCTCCATATTCACTGCCAGCATCCACCCATACCTTATGAAATCATCCTACCCATCTCACCTGCATCTTATCATCTGTCACCAGGACCCTAGCTCCTTTGCTGTCCTGAGATGGCATGTTCTTTCACTGAGTCTATGATTTTGATTACTTTCAGTATCTCAGTGGAATCATACAGTCTTTGTCTTTACTCAGTGCAGTTAGTTTATAGCATTTAGCATAGTGCCTTCAAGGTTCATCTGTGTTGTAACATTTCCAATTTTCCTTCCTCTTCAAGGTGAAATAATTGTCCACAAGATGGATGGGGCTCATTTTGTTTATCCATTCATCTGTCTCTGGATCTTACCTGCCATTTTTTATTTGCCATAATGGGGATTTGATCCCAGGACCTAGTGCTTGCTAGGCTGGTGCTCTACCACGTGAGCCATACCTGCAGCCTTTTTGCTCTTACTTTACTTTTCAGATAGGGTCTCATGCTTTTTGCCCCACCAGCCTAAAACCTTGTTCATACTGCCTCTACCTCCCAAGGAGCAGGGATTATAAATGTGCATCACTACATCTGGCATGCCATTTTTATCTACTATTAATAATGCCACAAGACAAGGGTGTTCAGTTGTCTCTTTGAGACCCTGCTTCCAGTTCTTGTAGGTGTATATGCAGAAGTGTAATTACTACACCTCCTGGCAATGCCTTTTAATTTTTTGGAAGATCACCACACTATTTTCCACAGTGGCTGTATCATTTTACATTCCCACCAACAGTGTATTTGGATTATAATTCACCCTTATACCCATCTACTCTTACCACAGTCTCCTTATAGTTTTTATAATAGTAACCATGCTAATGGGTGTGTCTTCAACACCTTGTTCACTGTGTCTTCCCATAGTGGACACAAAAGTACTTGACTCAAGGTCACCAGCAACCACAGTGGCTTAAGCCAAAGTGACTCTAATTTTCTTAAAAAACACAAAGACAAAGAGAAGCAGCTGATAACACTGCTTTAGCTTTACAATATTCAGTGTAAAGACTCAGTCTTATTCTGGATTTCTCCTTCTCTGAACTTAGCACGTTATGATCACTCTTATACTAACTTCCTCTTTATCACAGGATGGCTGCCCTCAGAAGACTGCGTTTACTTTTAGTCAACGTGCAAGCATTTTCCACAAATGCCCCATTTTCTGCACTGGCCAGAGCTTGACCTCGGCCTCGCTGCACTGGAGGCTGGGAAGTATCTGTCCTTCCTGCCTCCAAGCTGATGAATGTCCATAAGGAATAGAGCTTGAGACGGTCCTGGGGTCACTAATCCACAATGTCCAGCTGGCTACATCCATAGAAGAGAATGTTCATGAGGACAGTGACCCTGTGTGGTTTGTCTACCACTGCCTTCCATAACAATATTTAGTGCCCAATAATTTATTGTAAATATTTATTGAATGAAAGAACAATTTTCCTACCCAATGCAGAGGCACCCAGTGCGTTACACAAGTCATTCAATCATTTGAGAAACCACAAAAACAGTCACGCAATGGAGTTTTAAGTTGTATTTCTATTTTCTCTGCAGGATTGTGGGGAAGTGCTATAGCTAATACTGAAGAAAATAAGAAATTTATTTGGGGTGAGTATTTGGAGAATAGAGGGCTCAAAGCATAGAGATATCTCATACAGGAGGCTGAGCACTCTTTTCCTATCTCTGGCAGAAGAGTGACCACTATGTCATGTCTTTGCAGCTCCTTTTCCTCACATTGACATCACGTGTCCAGCCTTTACCAGGCTCAACCACCATGGCTGCAGAGTGGCACAGAGTGCAGGCTGCCTTGGATGATTGTTACTCTGGCTGATGTGATCTTTGTGACCTGTGGGAAATTACTTCACCTCTCTGTGCCTCAGTCTCTGCATCCATTAGGGAGGGGTGATAACAGTAGTAATTATGAGGATTTCATGAGTTAATTCCTCTAAAGCACCATGGACAGGACCTGGTAGTTAAAAGCTCTGAGAAACATTGCCATTTGTTGTCTGTCCTACTGTGTAATCCTTGCAATGACCCCAAGAAATAGACACTATAATTGCCTGCATGTTGCTGGCATCCACTGAGTCATGTGAAGGCTGTGACTCATCTGCCCTCGTTGGCCAGTGAGCACAGGTGCAAAGATAATGGCAGAAGACTGTGGTGGTTCAGATGCAGCATTTGTGTCTGGATCCAAGTCCCGCCTCAAGCTCCTATGCATTGGCAACCCAGGCAAACTGGATAAATTCTCAGTGACCCTTGTCTCCCTCCACAAAGATGAATGCAATAGTCATCCCCATATCATGCATTGAATGTGAGGTTGCAATGACCTGATGTGTATAAGGTGCTTAGAGTGGAGCCTGGCACATAGTAATGTCTCATTAAATGCTAACATGATAACTATTATTATATTTATTATCATTAAGTGTTCTCACCCCATTCGTGACCTAACCATGTGCCAGGTGCTGCTCTAGGTCTTATGCTTTATTTATTTTTCTTGAGATAGAGTCTGTCGATGTAGCTCAGGCTGGCCTCAAACTCATCATCCTCCTGCATCAGCCTCTTGAGTGCTGAGATTACAGGCATGTCCTACCATGCCAGGCTTTATGTTGTTCTTTGACAGCTATGTTCATCTTAATGTTGGTTAATGACAATTCTAAAATGTCTCTCTGTTTCTCTCCTTCCTCCCAGTGGCTAAGGTAGGGAAATTGGTCTGAGTTTCATTTCTGTACTGGGTGTGTTCTCAGAAGAAGAAGTCTTACTCTGTAGTGTGTGCCAGTTTCCATGGCATAAATGTTCCTGCCCTGACAAATTTTAACTTATCAATATGAGGTCACTGAAAGCAGGGTTGGAAGAGAGGTGCAAAATGAGCTGTGACAACCAACATTGGCAGTCTTCAGCTCATTGTGGTCATTACCATTAAAGAGATATCACTGAAAGAATCTGTATTTGCTTAGAAATATTTAACGTATACCTTGAGACCATACTGGATGGATAAAAATTCCCCCACTCTGATCTCTTACAGATGAGTTTTTGAGCCTGAAAGAAAAATTGTTAGGGAAACATCAGTTAACACAAGGTAAGCCTCCTGCTTTGAGGACACGATGGAGCATTCACGTAAGCCTCCCCCCATCCTCAGAACTCCACATGCTGTGTGTCACCCTGGGAAATGCTATTATTACCTCACCTGCTCAGCTGGGAATTGCTGTGAACGTGGCCTCCAGGGCTCATGGGTTGGAAACTAATTCCTAATACATCATTTGGAGTTAGGGCCCAATAAGAGTGAAAGGTGAGGTCACCCGGGCTCTGCTCTCATGAATGCTTTAATGTGATCACTGCAGGAGGTTAGTTATGCAAGGGTGGGTTTGTTATGAAAGCAAGTCTGGCTCCCTCTGCCTTGATCGCTCTCGCTCTCTCATCTTGCTTCTTGCCTTCTGCCTTCCACAATGGGATGGTACAACAACAAGGCCCTTAAAAGATGCGAGCACCTTAATATTGGACTTCCCAGCCTCCAGACCTATGAGAAAGATATGATTTCCTTATAAATTACCCAGTCTGTGGTATTCTGTTACAGCAGCACAAAGTACACTGAGACAGAAATCAAAGGGTTCATGGACTTAACAAAGAGTCTGGTAAGATACATGGCAGAATTGTAGTAGAAACCAACACACTGCAGCCCTAGCAGCAACTTACATAGTTGGCAAATATACCCTAGGGATGTGTGGGGTCCAACTGATGTTGGAGATAGAGAATGGGACCAGCCTGATTTGACTGGAAAATTGAGAAGAAAAGTGTGTCCTAAGATTTTATGGGCTGGGAGGTCAAGAAAGTAACTCCGTCCATGGATTAATAATGAAACAGAACAAAGGCAAAGTAGAGAGTAACAGTGAGTGAAGAGGTTGGATGATATTAGGCCAGGAAATACTAGTGTGCACAAAGAAAGAAACCCCAAATTTCTCTACTTTAGACAAAGAGCCTGTGTTTTGATGATGCAAACACAGTTTGAGTTGGTGTCCCTCCTGGGATCAAAGCTGCTTGTGTCTTGTCACTCCTCATCTAAAAACAAAGTTCCCAATGTTTGCTCCATAAGAGATCTGGAGAGCCACAGAGTGCCTTTTATGGTAGGCTTGATGTAGTATGCATCACCTCCACTCAGATCACATGGCCCCTACCCACCCCCAGGGGCAGTTGACAGATATCGTTGCCTATGTGCACAGGAAGAAGCAAGGCAGTGAGCACAGAGCATTCTTGCTCCCTCCTTAGAAAGTACCCAGTGCTCAACCCCCATCCCACCCCCATCTTAGTCACTAAGGCTTCCCTAGCAAAGGACCATAGGCTGCGTGGCTTACAAAGCACGAATTTGTATTTCAAATCTGGAAGCTGGAAGTCTAAAATCAGGATCCTGGCAGGGTTGGGTTGTGGACAGGGCCCTTTTCTGTAGCAGACTGACAACTTCTAGTATCTCTGGAGTTCCTTTATAAGGCCACTCATCACAACCAAAGGACTCCACCCTGGTGACCCCCCAATTGCTCCACCTCCTAATGCAGTCCCACTGGAGGTTTGGATTTTAGTGTATGCATTTGCAGGGTACAGAAGCACTCAGTTCATAGCACTCACCCTCCCCTCTCTTCCCTCTCCCTCCCTCAGTGTGCTCTAGACATACTCCCTCTCCTTCATCTTCTTGCTTTTTCACTGTCTGTGCCTTAGGTGTAGAGGACCTTCTCCCTCAGAATTCCCAGTTATTAGGGGCTTTCCTCAGATTGTCACTGTCTCAGAGAGACCTCCCTGAGGCCCCCAGGCCTGAAATATCATCCCTGTCACCTTTCCTCTAAGATCCACTTTTCTTCTTACTTCTTATCATTTTCCAACATGACAGTGTGTATTCATTTCCTTGTTTATTTCCTGCTTTACTCTCTGGAGCAAAGTCCTTAGGTTTCTCTCTTGAGGGTGTCCACAAGATGGAAACTATGTCCTTTCTAACCCTTACAGTGTTTGCCTTTCTCATGCTCAGTCTCTCATGTGTATGGCAGAAGCTATGTACCATGTGGCAGTGGCCTGCCTCTGATGGCTGGTTGGACATGCAGTCACATGTACTTGTGTTTTACCCCTTCTTGAATTGATTGCTCATAGATGTAACCCACGCCAATGCCTACACTGTGGGATTCTGGGTAATTTTCAAGAGTATGAAGAAGTCTTAGAAGGTTGAAGCAGGACATAGACACTGTATGCCAAGGGTTTTATGTTCTTCATTCTTTTTTGAAACCTGGTACAGTCCCTGGGCAGCAGCAGAAACATGAAAGTTATTTACTGAAGAAATGGATGGATGAGTCTAGTTAGCCCACTGCTTACACTGTGGGAAGAAAGACTTTATACTTTGAGGTGGACTTCAGGGTTTTTCTGTGTTCATGTCCACCACTTTTACTTTGTTTGTTTTGGGACAGGGTCTCACTACATAGACCAGGATGACCTCAAACTCATAATCCTCCTGCCTCAGCATCCCCTAGTATGTCCATCAACATTTTCGAAAACATACATTTAAGGCCAGGCATGATGACTCATGCCTGAAATCCTTTCTTCTCAGGCGATGGAGATCAGGAGGATCATAGTTCAAGGACTGTCTGGGCAAAAAAGATAGTAAAACCTCATCTCAACAAAAAAAGCTGGGCCTGGTGGCACACAACTGTCATCCCAGCTACATAGATGGCATAATTAGGATGACCACAAAAATGTGGGACCCCATCTAAAAAATAACCAAAGCAAAAAGTGTATGTATGTCTCAAATGGTAGAGCACCTGCCTAGCAAGTGTGAAGTCTGTGTGTGTGTGTCTGTGTGTGTGTCTGTGTGTGTGTATATGATAAAATATACAAGTCAGTGGCTTTATACATATTCACAGTACTGTGGACCCATTACCAGCAGCCATACTCAGAACTTATCCTTCATCCCTAGCATTTAAATTGGTACACATTAAACAATAGCTCTCTCTTTCCCTGTCCCCTGGCCTCTGGTGACTTCTATTCCTCATTCTGTTTCTGTGAATTTGCCTATTGTAAGTGCTTCCTATGAAATGGATAAAATGCTATGTTTCCCCAAAGCTTATATGATGAAGACTGAACCCTGAGGGTGGTGAAATACATTAAGAGATGGGGGTCTCTGGGAACTGACTAGGTCTTGAGGGTGGGGCTTATGATCAGGATGAAAGGTCTTTTAATCGAGGCCCCAGAGAGCCAGCTGGTCTCTTCTGCCATGTGAGGATCCTGGGACACAGGTGCTACATGAACTACACTGGCATACCCTCCCACACATCTACCCTAACAACACCTCAGTGTTGGACTTCCCTAGAACTGTGAGAAATAACTTTCTGGTGTTTATAAGCCATGCAGATTGTAGGACTTTACTACAGAAGCCCAAGTGGACTAGAACTTCCTCTAAGTGGACTAGGACTTCCTCTATGTGGAATACTGACTGCTTTCACTGAGCATAGTATGCATTGTAACCAGGTCTTCCATGCTTGCTGTATATAGTGTGTATCACTTGAAGTGTGTAGCATCCTCATGAAGCTGTGGAATAGTATTCCATATTGTGTGGAACAGCTGCACCATGGTTTTCTTCTCCATTCACTGTTGATGGACATTTGGATTATTTGTGTGTTTGGTTATTGTGAATAGTGCTGCTATGAATGTTACTTACAGGAAATTTTTTGACAGATATGGAAAGTGAAGATCCTAAGCAGGTAAACAAACCAATCATACTAAACCGCTTAGGTTAGAGAGGGGACAGGGTGCAGGGGTGCTCAGTCTCCCTGTTTGGTTTCCCTAGAAGGGAGTAAAGGGGGAAGGAGAGAAGCCAAACAGGTGCGAGGTCCCAGCCTGGTCTTCAGGGGCCCTGGAACAAAAGTCTGACACTTAGACTCTATCCTACCTGCAGCAAGGGAGCTAAGCTTCCATTCTCCTATATACACACCAGTCACCAGCTCTGGTGAGCCTGGGGGGAATGTCCAGTCTTGGGTACAACATCTGTGGTGCAGCCACTCCATGCATTGCAGGTGGAGCCTTTGCAAACAAAGCACAGGGAAGGTGGCCTGGGGATGCCCAGATTGGGAACAAGGTACTAAAGGGACACAGGAGGGAAGAGAGTGATGGAATCCGTGTATTTCATGGGTGAGTATCTTGTGTCTGTGCAGGGATGATTACAGAAGAGACAGCAGTGGACGAAGCACTCCTAGAATTGATGGTGGCTTACATAAAAGATGAAAAGGACCCCAGTATCCAGAAGAAGCTCCAGGCCCTGCAGCAAGCACTGGGTGCCAGGAGAGGTTTGTACACTAGGACTTGCTTGGAAATTACCCAGTGATGATGGCGGGCCAGAGATTGTGAGGATAGCAGGTGACTGAGACACAAGCAGGTGGGTGAGCTGTGAAAACATGCAGCAAGGGCAGTCACACTTTCCTCTCACAGGTAAAGTGTCAGGCCTACAATGTCCAGGCTGCAAATGTAAAATGAAAGGAGGGCCAAGGGCATGGCTGAAGTGGTAGAGCACTTGACTATCAGGTCAGAGGTCCTGAGTTTTAACACCAGCACCGATATATATAAGTAAATACATAAATAAATGCATGAATGAAAGGAAAGAAGGAAGGGAGGGATGGAAACAAGGAGAGATGAGGATGACTTAGGCTGAGGCACTGAGAAGGGAAGAGAGAAGAAACCTAACAGGGCCATCAGTCACTCTACCCATCACCTCTCACCATTCCCCTCTGTTGTGGAACCTCCATGCTCATTTCCCCAGTGGCTGGTCTGGGCGTTCTTACATTCCCCTCATCAGTGACTAACAGTTACTTTCCCCCCTCATCGCCATCAGTGTCCTTACTGTATTTGGTCCTCACACACCCTGTGAAATAGGTACTTCTGATATCCCTCTTCTTCAGGTGATGAAACTAGGGCACAGAGAGGTTGAATAAGATGGAAAAGGTCACACGGTTTATATATGACAACTATGGCATTCAGCCAAAAATAATTGTTGTGTCCATGTACACAACAATTATTCCATAATGATTAAAAGTCTGAAAAATCCAGGTTTTTTGTTATTAATTGACTAATTTATACAGTAGACCCTTGGGAACTGTGGGCAGATGGTCCCAAGAAGAACACTGTTGAGGAAAAAAACGCACATGCTTGAGATGCATGGAGTTCAGTATTGTACTTTGGATGCTTGATTCCTTTTTCCCATATGCTACCCATCTACCACAAAAGACGTGCTGCCTTTCAACAAATCTAAACTTTTCACTTTATCACTTAATTTAACTGTGCTTTGGGGGCACCAATTGCTTTTATGAGAGGCATGTTTTTACAATATTAAGAGCACCATCATGCCAGCTTATCAATTGAGATGGAGGTTCAGCCAAATTTTTGTCCTGGCTAGCCTCAAACCAAAATCCTCGCTATTTCTACCTCCAAGTACAAGGGATTGCAGATGTGAGCCACCTGGCTAATTTTTTTATTTTTATTTTGATTGTGCTTGATCAAAACATAGATAATAAATCCATGAGTGAGGCTGGTGAATTATATTCGTTTTAGGATATGCCATGAGATGGTTATATTTGGGGACAGCCTGTGCATGCAGATTCATTCAAGGTTTTCCATAAAGGGAAGAGCAGTGGGCAGGACCTTGGGATTGTATCCCAGCTCATTTCCCATCTGTGTGCCCTTCAGCAAGTGTCTTAACTTCTCTGTGCTTCTGTTTTCCTCATCTGGGTAGTGGGTATGATCCTCCCCTCCCCCTTGTAATATGGTAAATGTTGACCAGAGTTGATGTGAGGTCCCCAAAATTGGGCCTGCATATGATGAGCACTCAGTCATTTTGAGCAGAATTGTCATTGAGGTGAGGGAGAGCTGAGCACCGGGTAATTGCTGGGTGTGAATAAAAGGGGACCAGGGGAGTGCTGAGAATGAACTCTGAGCAGCACCACTGTGTAAAGTCTGAAGAGAGGCAGAGGAGACAGCATAAGTGGAAGAAAACTAGGCAGTGTTGGGAACGCCAACAGGCAAGGGACAGGGACAGCTTCCTCAGAAGCCCAGTCAGGATAGGAGGAGCTGCTGGGGTGTCAGGAAAGATGAGACAGTGGGCTGGGCGATGGTTCTTGGCAGATGGCATGGACCAGTCAGAGTCAACGTCTGAGTTTCTTGGTGTAGGTAAGCAGGGAGAGCCTGAGTACAGGGAACTGGCCATGATGATCCGGAATTGGAGCAAAGCCTCCCTGCAGGAGCGGGGCCAGATCCTGGAAACCCTGGTGGGTCACTTCACAAGGCAAGCAAGCACGATGGCCGTTTCCAGAGCTTTGAGTGTGTACAGGGGTAAGTGCCATTGCATTGGCCCTCTTCCTTCCCTCACTCATCCCCACCCTCTCTAGGCCATCCTGCAGGGGTCCCCTGCCAAGGGTGACCATGTTTTCATGCATGGATTCTTTCATCCAGGATGTCCCAAGCTGTTAATAAGCCATAAACCTGTGGGGGTGGGGGTGTTTACAGAGGGACACGACAGAGCAGGTGCCTGCCCTTTCACATCAACACCTAGAGTAGTATTTGAGGAAGTACCTGGTTAACATAGCATACCCAACACAAACCAGTGTATCAAAAAACACGCTGACAATAGACACTTATTTATTGGTCATAAACCTATATAGGATAGGTGTTTCTGGTTGTACAGATGGGAACAGAGATGTGAAGTAACTGTTCGAGATTACACAGCTCATAAAAATCCAATTCAAGTCCATAGCCAGCCAAAGACTTTCCTTCCTAATTGATTTGCTTTCTTGCCACTCTGCCTATCATTGAGAGAAATGACCGGAGCTAGAACCCAGAGACGAAGAGACGACCTAAAGGGAGGGGAGGGCGCTGTGGTTCCAGGGTGGAGAAGTTGTATGAAGAACTAGTGGTGAGGTCAAAGAGAACAGAAGCACGGAAAAGAAATTAGAACACAGAGTTGACTGGTCTTGGCAATAGTCCAATGTGACGGGTGAGGAAGGAACAGGATTCTGGGATAATGACTAAATTATTCCGAGAGTGACTTGGAGGCCACTTGGACTGAGGATGGGAACATGGTAGAATAGTCCAGAAACAAATTCTAGAAAATTCCAGGCCTTACAGAGAACAAGGTTTTCCCCCCTGATAACCAGATGTTCATATAGTCACACCCAAACCACCCAAACTGTCACTTACAGCCCAAGAACAGGGGCCTAAAGTGGCAGCCAGACCACTACGCCCCTGGATATTGCCTATTTGCAGCTCCCTGTATGAGTCTGCTCAGGACGCCATGACAGAGTGTCTCATACTAGGCAGCCCAACAAGAGACAAGGTTTTTGTTTCCCAGATGCTGGAGTACAAGGTCAAGGTTGACTTCTCCTGATACCTGTCTTCTTGGCCTGCAGCTAGACACCATGCTGCGTGCCTGTCCTCCTCATCAATACAAACACAAGTGCTATTGGATCAGGGTCCCACTCTCATGAGTTCATTTTCCTCCTTGAAAGCCCTGTGTCCACGTCCAGTCATGCTGCATGTGAGGAGCTTCACCATAGGACTTTAGGGGATGGGGACACATTTTATCCCACAAGACTCATGTTGACCCTCTCAATTTCTCCCTCTAGTAACATTCTGGGACATTTTGGATTTTCTGGCTAAAACCGTAATGTGCATTTGGAACTGGGAATGGGGGACCGTTCACAACTTCCTGCTTAAACTCTATGGTGAGAAAGCTCCACTTCCCGTTTCTCTCATCCCTAGTCAGGGTCATATGGGGGGAGACGAGGGACATGAAGTGATCTCACATCATCCCTTCCCCAGACCTGCAGGGGTGGGGGTGGCAGCAAAGCTCACACAGATCTCAATGGATGAGCTCCCGGTAGGTGGAGGGTCCCAATGAAAGATGTGTGGCCCCACTGGCATCAGTGTAAGGTATTGAGAAAACCCAACTCCTAAAAACAAGTGGATGGTTTTCTGTGGCTCTGAAAGAATGCAAAACATCTTAATTCTTTGCTGGCCAGTCCTTAAAACTCTTTCACATGAATTTTCTTTTCATTTGCTTACTCTCTTCATCTGGGTAGAAATGCCCTCCAGAATATTCTGAAACCCCTTTATAATCTCCATAAGCTTCTGGCTTTATGGCTGATGAACAACCCCTCCCAAAGCCATGATGCTCCCTGCACATTTGAAATGTCCACACTCTTTAAGACATGGACATCCATGTAGTTTGTGTCCTTGTGCAAACTGATAAAAAGATGCATCCCCCTCTAAGAGGGAGTTCGAAATGTGTGCAAATTTGTTAGGTCTAGGCATGGCTTGATAAGTTCTATTAGTCTACTTTCTGTGTAACAAAAGACCCAAGTTTTGTTACTTTATAAAAAGAGATTTATTTAACTTATAGTTTTAGAGTCTGAAAGTCTAAGATCAAGCCACCCCATCTGTCCAGCCTCTGGTGAGCCTCTGCTGAGGGCCTCCTTGGGTCCATCAGGATATGGCAGAGAGCAGAAAGGAAGCATCCATATGCAGAAGTGGCACAGTAGATGCAGTAACCTCACTCTATAGCATCTCAGTCTCTCAAGAACTTATCCATTGCATGAGACCAATGTGAGTCCCTTTCCATGGAGGCTAATGACATACCACCTTCCAAAAGGCTCCACCTCTTAAAGGTTCTAGCAGCACACAGGGCACCTAGCTTCCAGCACTTGACCCTTTGGGGGAAACATTCAACCCCCATCTGAACCACAGTGCAGGTGCACATCAGTAATACCCCAACCCCCACTCAATTCTCTGTGGTGTTTAGTGCAGGGCAGGAAGCCGCAGATGTGTTTGCACACAAGCTGTTCGTCCATTCATACTCATGTGACCTCACTGTAGACTGGCAGGTGCAGAATCACTGGGTCTCTTCCTAGGCTCCAGAGTTGGTGTCACAGATGATGAGATGTGCAGCCGAAAACTCCTCCACCTCGTGGATGCTGGGCTTGCCATCAACAGTCCCTACCCACTTCTTCTGCCCCCTGCACGGGAAGTTCAGCTCATCCTCTCCTTTGACTTCAGTGCTGGAGACCCTTTTGAGGTAACTGAGAAGGACCTTGGGGAGTGGGTGGGACTGGGTGGAGGTGGAGCTCCATGAGAAAGAACTCAAAACCCTGCTAGGAAGCGGGCAATGGGGAGGTGCTGGCTGGTGGCCCAGAAAGCAAAGCCATTAACTCTGAGTCTTGAAGTGTGCACAGTCTGTCAACATCTAACATGCCTGTAACCTAAATTCAGTCAGGACCTTCCAGGACCACCTTCTGGATTTTGCTTCCCACCCTGACCACTTTGGCTTTGCCAGTTTTGCTCTTTGTCTGTGTGGTGCATTCTCCCCATGTGCATATCTTGAGCCATGAGGCTGCTTTTTCCTACTCACCTTGGCCTCCCGAGACCTGGTGCATAGAGGGAAGGAGAGTAAACACAGAACATGAGTTATGTTCATAGCTGACACTTTTAGGAAACAGTAGATATTTTTCTCAGCTGCACTGATCGGTTACACCAAGCATCACAGCCTGCTCTGCTACTTACCAGCAATTCATTTCACTTCTGTGCACGTTGATTTTCTCAACTATAAAAACATAGCTCAAGCTAGATATGGTGGCTCGAGCCTGTAATCATAGGTACACGGGAGACAGACATCGTGTAAATCATGTTCAAGGCCTCTGGGCAAAAAGATCATGTAACCTTTATCTCAACCAATGGCTGGGCATTGTGGTCCACGTCTGCCATCTCAGCTATGCAGGAAGTGTAAATAGGAGGATCATGGTCCAGCCTCTGAAAAAGGAAGATGATACTTCAAAAATAACCAAAAACCAAAAGAGTTAGCATATGGTTCAAATGGTAGAGGGTCATCCTCAGAAGTGCAAGATACTGAGTTCAAACCCCAGTATTGCCATAAACAGTAACTAATAAATGCAGTTGTTCATGCTAGGTCATCCAGTAATGTATAGATCACATTAATGGTGGTTAATGTTTATAATGGACTCAGCCCAGTACTGCCACTTGGCCTGGGGGTTATAAATAATATCTTTAAAAACATGCACACATGTATAACGTATGACTCTGATCATGCTTCACTTAACAGCCACACATGCCCTGAGAAATGCATCTTAGTTTATTTATAATTAGTAAGAAAAATATTAATGTTATATTATTTATGCATCATGGGCTAGATATATGTAGACCAAAAGAAAATATAGAATATTCTGATCACTTGGAACAGATGAAAATAAACTCATTGTCAGTATCAGTGTGAGGAAATGGGAACACCCAGACTCCATTTGTAGTACCAACACTGGTGTAATTTTTTGTGAAATTACTCTTAGTTTATATTTATAATTTTTGTTATGGAAATTTCAAAACCATATAAAACTTGAGAGAATACCAGTAAATTTCTATGTAACCATTAGCCAGTTTCCAAAGTCAGAAACTTATAACCAATCTCATTTCCTATACACCACATGCAATAACTTGCATCCCCAATTACTTTGGAAAAATGTCATATGATTTCAGTTACAAATATTTAATATTATATCCAAAAGTTAAGTATTCCTTTAAAGTATTGTTACAATACCATCATCACATCTAAAATTCTAACAGTATTGATAAATGCATTGTAATGTGATTCCAACATCACACCAGCATTATAGAGTGTCCTTACACGTGACCATGGACAGTCCAGGTCAATCACTGCTGCTGGCATAACATGGCAGACTGTTTTACAGTACACCTTGTGAAAGTAGAAGTACACACCAAATACAAAGGAAAAGCATAGTTTCATACCTAAACCAATAATATAATCAATTGTTACATACTGTACATAATTGTATGTGCTATTTTTTGTGGTACTAGTATTTGACTCAGGGCCTTATGCTTGCTAGGCAGGTGCTCTACCACTTGAGCCACAACTGTAGCCCTTTTTGTTTCAGTTATTTTTCAGATACAGTCTCACATTTTTGCCTGTGTCTGACCTTGGACCTTGATCCTCTACCTATACCTCCCACATAGCTGGAGGACAGGTGTGCACTGTCCCACCACATCCTGCTTTTTTGTTGAGAGGGGACCTCACTAATGTTTGCCCACACTGGCTTCAAATGGCAATCCTCCTGATCTCCATCTCCCGAGTAGCTGGAATTAAGGTGAGAGCCACCACACCTGGCTCTTAAACTCACTATGTGTTTGTACAACTGGTAGACCAGCAGGTTTGCTTACACCAGCATCACTACAAACATGTGCATGATGCATTGCACTAAAACATGATGACGGCTATGACAACATTAGGCAAAAGGAATTTTTTGGTTCTATTATAATCTTTTATGATCATTTGTCATATACACATTCTTTCACTGACCAAACCGTACTTACTTGACCATTAATACTTGTAAAGTACTTAGCACAGCACCTGCCACTTAGAATAGTTTGTATATATTTTCTTTGGAAATCTGCACACATACATAATATTCAATTGTATGTATTATGTAATTATGTACAAATACATAATATACATACAATAATCATCACAATGCATATCTCTCACATTTATGTGTGATATAATGTATATTTATATATTATTAATATACATATAAATGCACACACATATCATCGGACATTTCTGATATGATATCAATCAGAGATAGCCACCTTATTTTCATTACCTCTGATCACCGTCTGGCTTGTCTCCTCTGTCTTTCTGGGTCTTCAGACCTGGAATACACAGGTTTTCTGGTTCTTGGATTTCTGCTGAAGTGAAAATTCCAAGACAGTATGATAAAGGGAGTCACCATCTTTGCCATCTGACTGTGAGCAATCAGTTTGACCTCTGGGCCTCAGATTTCTCATCCTCAAAATGGGTGTACCATCATCAGAATCTACAGATGCTCTTTCAGTGCCTGGTCCATAGCTGGTGTTCAGTGATGGTGATGATGCTTTGAGGGTGATGATAAAAAGGACAAGGTCACATGATGATAAGAAAAATAGTGGCAACTGTTAAAGTGAAACTTTAGAGAATACTTTGTAGATCTGTGCAAGTACATATGGCAGATAGCCACAGGTGACATGTGAGCATCTGAAATGCCCAGGCCACGTTGACATGTGCTTTGAGTATAAAGAACACCCCAGATTTTAAAGACCAAGAGTAAAAAAAGAATATAACAGAACTCATTCATCATTTTTTATTTTGATCATCTATACATTTGATATTTTCAGTTAACTAAATTTATTTGTTACTATGGTCTTTTGGCAATACTGGGGATTGAATTTAGGTCCTTGAGATTGGTAGGCAGGCTGTCTAACACTTAGGTCATGTCTCCAGCCCTTTTGTTTTTTGCTTTAGTTGTTTTCAGATAGGATCTCCCTTCTTTTAGTTTTTTTTTTCACTACTGGGGTTTGAACTCAGGGCCTACATCTTCAGCCACTCCATCAACCCTTTTCTGAGATGGGTTTTTTGAGATAGGGTCTCACAAAGTGTTCACCTGTGCTGGCTTCAAACCATGATCCTCTTGATCTCTGCCTCCTGAGTAGCTAGGATTATAGGCATGAGCCACCAGCACTTGGCAGAATCTCACATTTTTGCCTGGGGCTTCAATCCTCCTACCTGTGCCTCCCAATATCTGGGGTGACTTATATGAGCCATCACCCCCAGCTTGTACTTTGAGAAAGGTTGTCATGATTTTTTTTCACAGTCTGGACTCGAACCAAGATCATCCTATTTGCCACCTCCCCAATAGCTGGGTTTCCAGGTGTCAGCCACCATACCAGCCTAAAATTACTTTATAAACTAATTTTGCTTGTTTATTTTCACTTACTTCTATACTTTGGATCTTGAATGTGTCTCAAAAGTCCCTGATCCCCAATTGGTGCTTTGGGAGGTGACAGAACTTTTAGGAGGTGGAGTCTTACAGAGGTCATTCAGTCATTGAGAACATGCCTTCAAAGTGATGGTGGGACCCTGGTCCCTCCTTCTTTTTATTTTTGCTCCATCACACATTCCCGCCACACTGTCCTGCCTCATCACAAACCCAAAGCAATGGGGCCAAGTGATCATGGACTAAAACCTCTAAAACTGTAAGCCAAACAACCTTTTTACTTTTAAAAGTTGATTATCTCAGGCATTTGCCACAGTAATGGGAAGCTAACTTCACTTAAAAGCACCTCCATGGCTGACATGCTGCTTCTACTAGACAGCACTTGCCCAGTCATCTTCCACACCTCCCTAGGGGCTGGATGTTACAGAACCTGCAGGTGTGATGAGAGCAGCTGGTACCACACATCTGTTGGGGCAGAGGTGGGATTCAAACCCTCATCTGAGCACCTACTTCCTTATGCTCTGACTTCCCCCAGGTCCCAAGAATACTCTCAAGCCTGTGGAAGGTACTAGGCATTGTCCTGCAGGACATGGGCAATACCACCTGTACAAGAGAAAAGCACCCCATTTCCCAGTCCACCCCTGCTCTGTGGTGTATTTGGGCCCTGTGCTGCAGGCCTGAGGGGGTCTTCAGGACAGTTACTCAGACAGGTCCCCATTTCCTTCTTCACAGACAGTCAGAGCCACGGCTGACTACTGCTACCGCCATAAAATTCCCTTCCCGCTGGTGAAAGAGGCTGATCTGAAGGAGTGGGCCAAAGCCCCCAGCAGCTGCTACATCCTGAAAGGGGAAAGTGGACCTGTGGTGATGCATTTCCCCCTGTTTAACAAAGACAACTGTGGAGGTAGGTGCACAAGGAAGTGTGGGATGAAGGGCTACCAAGCAGACCAGATGGGTAGGCTGTGCTACACACAAGGGACACCTGGTCTACCCTCCAATGTGTCAAGGTCTAGAGAGAGTGAGCAGGAAGCATGCTAGGGCAGGGGGATATCATATTTTCTGTCTTAGTCTTGGATAGTTCTGTCTGTCTTTGGGGGCATTCTTGCCCTAGCTGAATAGCTGGGCCTTCATCCTGGGCACCCAACATTAAACCTGGAGTCCCAGCTAAGAAGCCAGCATTCATGATGAGTGGTCCTCCATTGACCAACTGTACCATTTCACACAGACTCTGTGGACATCTTGCCTTCCCCATCATGCCTCCCAAGTGAGATTCCCATTGTGGGATAAAGAGCGTCTGTCTTTTTATATCATTTAACAAACATTCATTGGTCACCTACTCTGCATCAGCCATTATTGCAGGCAATACAGGCTAACATAGAAAAGAAGACAAATTCTTCATGTGGAGCTTCATGCAGGGAGAAGACATAGGTAATAGAATAATGTATATTCATAAATAATGTACTAATAAATCTTCATTTGTAAAGCCAAATGGTGAACTATAGAGTTCGTTTACTAACCCCCAGTGTAAGGACAAATTGGAAGAATTAATTGTTCAGACATAAGGTACATTTTCTAGTTTGATTCTACTTCAGATGACATTAATACTTGGAGAGACAAATATGCCACATTCAAACTATCGGACACCTACTCTGTACAACTGGTGAAGGATCTCCTGGAGAAGTCCAAGGAAAATGTAAGAAAAAACAAGGAGAATATCTTCCGTGCAATAAAGGAAGCAGTCAGGTATTTATGAGAACTCAGCTGCTCTACCTCAGCATTCATTTCACTCTTCTGGAGAGCTCTGGCTGCTCTGACTCATGTTCACTCCCCTGGAGAACTTTCTTTTGTTTGAAAATTTCCCCCACAGTCTGGGGATTGAATTCAAAGACTCACACACTCTACCACCTGAGGCACAGCCCAATCCTTTTGATTTTAATTTGTTCTTCACATAGTGTCTCACACTTTTGTCTGGGAGGGTTTAGAACACAATCCTCCTACTTCCACCTCCCCAGCAACTGAGTAATAAAGGCTGAGCAGAGAGAGCCAAGTTGGGCCTTGGGCTAAGGTTTCTCTTTGGCCTTGGTTTTTGCATATCTGAATGGTAGAGGTGCTAGCAGTGCCTCTCCTTCTGGTGTTGGTAGATAAAGCTCAATGGACACAAAGAATCAGCTGGTTCTTAGCATTTCCTAGCATCCCTTCTCAAGATAAGATGATGCTCACTTTGAATATTCATAGCTATTATGCAAAGCATTTTTTTAAGGGATGAGAAGCCAGGTGGTGTGTACCTATAATCCCAGCACTCTCAGGAGGCTAAGGGAGAGGTTTGAGATTACAAGACCAGCCTGTGCCACATACAAGATCTTGCCTCAAAAACAACAATGACAAAACAACAGTAAATTGCCTAGTTCACCTTGCAAGTCAAAACACTGACTTCTGACAAATGAGTACAAAAGGGAATTGGTTAGAAGGTGGTTATCTCATAGAAACCAGGGCCACTGGGCCTCATGAGCACTGCAAATTGGATTTCAGGAACACTGAATTACAATTAAATCGGATTCTTTGAAGCAAGACTCTTCAAGCCAGGCATGGTGGTACAGCTGAAATGCCAGCTACTTGGGAGATGGAGGCCAGCCCAATCAAAGTTAGCTTGACCCTGTCTGAAACAACATATAGTCCAGGCATGGTGACTTACATCTGTAATCCCAGCTACACAAGAGGCAGAGAACAAGAGGATTGTGGTTCAAGGCCAGCCAGGGCAAAAATTAGAAAGTTTTCATTTCAACAAATAAGCCTAGTGTGGTGGCATGTTCCAACTACACTGGAAGACCATAAGTAGGAGGATTGTTGCTCAGAACAGCCCCAGGCAAAAACATGGGACCCAATCTCAAAAATAACCAAAGCAAGAGAGCCAGAGTGTGGTAAAGTGTCTGCCTAGCATGCATGAGGCTTTGAGTTCAATTACTAGTACTGCAAAAAAAAAGGGTCACTTGTAAACTTCCTTCTCATCTTTCCCTCCCCAGGTCCTGCCCCCAGACATCTTAACAGCTCTGGGATCTGTGACTGTCTAGGAACCAGCTCCTGATTCAGAGTCAAGGTTCAAATCTCAGACTCAGCAGATCAGATATGCCCTGTCTAAACCTTTGTGTCCTCCTCTGTAAAGACATCACAACAGGAGTTATGAATAATTAATTAAAGTAAGTCCATAATGATCTTTCCTTCTGAGGACGTCTTTATTCTCTTGGACCCTTGCGGTTTCACCACCTGGGGGAGTTGCTCTTGGTCTGACAGTGGGACACAGATCATATCCTGAGAATTCTGGTAGGTATCACAACATTTAAGAGAGACTGAAGAATTAGCTCCTAGCCTAGATCTGGGAGCATGGGCTTAGAATTCAGTGTTGGATATACAAATATTTCCACATCAGATATAGACTACAGGAGCTCACAGTAGGTTGTGGAGCCGGGATTAAATCTAGGCAATGTCAGTGAGTGAGTGACTGTCTCTCTCCCAAGTTATGCATGATCTGTAGAGACTTCAATTCCTCTAGTCTTGTTGAAAGTGCAGTGCTGCCTGTAACAGACAATGGGGACCTCTAACTCCCTTCTACCAGGATCTACTGTGGGAGTGGCCATGCCCAAGTCCTCGCCATGTGTGCTCCCCTCATGTCCTCCATCAGCTGCTCTTGCGTGACATGAGCCACACAGGAGCTGCTTCCAAGGCAGCAGCAGCCTGCTGGTCTACCAGGGCCCAGCTGTCCACCTGCCCTCCTGTTCTCCACTCCCTTCAGCTATGCCTGCCATACCATCCAATTGGGCTGACCATCCTAACTGAGCCCATTTCCAATGACCAGCTGGCACACATCTTTGACAGCATCATTCACAATGAGTCCCAGAATGTAGGTGATAAAGTACGTCCTACAATTTCTCAAGAGACCTTAGAAATAAAGCACAATTCTCAGACCATCAGTGCCACCATATCCAATGTCCACATGGCCAAAAGGAATGCAATGGTTGAGACCAAAGCCACTTAATTTATGTGTTTGCTGCAACCCTAAGGCATGCCTTTCCACCCTCCATTAAGATGGTTTCATTTCCCACTGATCTTCTAAACCTGCCTTGTATGTGTTACCACCTACCCCTCATTGCTTCCCTTCCATCTTCTTCAGGGATCACCTTCCTTGGCCACCTTATCTGCTCCCCCCTTTCCCTCCTCCCTGCATCCCTGCATCCTCTCCTTTCTACTCCTTCCACCTATAACTCAGTGGTCAAGCCTCAGGTATGCAAAGCTGAGCTTGTATCCTGATCCTGCTACCTGTTCACCATAAAAGCATAGGCAAGTCTTTGCCTCTGTACTCAGTTTCTTCATCACAGGATAGATAATCATGGTGCTTGTATCCTGCCAGGGCTCAAATGAGTCCCAGGGTCTAAGAACAGCATCTAGCATACACTGAATGTTCAAGAGACATTATTTTTATATTTTAATTCATTTTTTGTGCTGGTGATGGAACCCAGGGCCTGGCAGATGCTAAGCAAATTGCTGTACCACTGAGATACACATCGAGCCCTTTTGGAAAAAATGACTTAGCAAAGTTAAAGATTTCATAAGAGTGGAATTGTGTCCTCCAAAATTTGTTGATGTCATAATCACCAGTACTAGTGAATGTGAGATTATCTTTTAATAAGAACTTTAGAGATGTAAGGAAATTAAAATGAAATCATCAAGGGGGGTGCTAATCCACTAGGACCGGTGCCTCTGTAGAAAGGGGGAATTTGGACAAGGAGATAGACACACGGGTAGAAGGCCATGGGGATGCGATGGCCAAGGTTGCAGAGATATCCCTACAAGCCAAGGAATGCCAACAACTGACAGCATTAACCAGTTGTCCAGTAAAGACCTTTGTAGCAAAATCACTGCTCAGAATTCTGTTTCACTAGGTCATTTCACCAGTGGTTCCTCAGTCTTCCCTTGACTCTCATGACCTTGACCAACTTGAAGCTTGAGGAACACTTACTTTGTAAACCATCCCTCCATCTGGGCATGTCTGATGTCTTCTCCTGATTAGGTTCTGGAAGCCCACAGAGCAATGTTGTCTTCAGTTGAACCCATTACTGCAGATGCTCATTTCAATCATCTGACTATGTTATTTCCAGTATGAATTTGTTCCCTTGGGACTAGTATTTCGCATCCAACTTTTCACTTATCTTTTAATTTTTGTTTATATGGACTCCCGGCTCCAATGGTATATTGTATAATTTGGCAGTGTCATCATTTATTTGGATTTGTCAACTTGCCCAATGTAGGCATTGAATTTCTTTGAGCTGAGTTCTGTGTTGTTTCTGCATGTCTATGACTCTGAGCAGTCCCTCGCTTTATAGCACAAGATGTCTCAGGCTCCCCTTGTTTATTTCCTGCTCCAGACATGGAATCAGTTATCTTCCTAGAATCCTTGGTTCCTTTTATTGGAGATTAGTATTGAGAAGTAAAGATTGAGACTCTCATTGGGGGTGATGGTGCCTATCGAAATCCCATCTGCTCAGGAGGCAGAGGCAGGAGAACAATGAGTTCAAATCCAATCTGGGAAAGTTAGTGAAAATCTGTCTCAAAAGTAAAAAAGAAGAAGAAAAAAAAAAACACAAAAGGACCGGAGATACAAATCAAGTGGTAGAGGTCTTGCGTAGCAAGTATGAAGCTCTGGGTGCAGTTGTCAATATCACACACACACACACACAAATCCAGAGGTGATCAGTAGTATTGGGGTGAACTTCTCTGTCCTCTGAGTGGAGAGAGCTAAAGAATATGTACAAATTTCCTGCCCACACTGAGACTATGTGTATTTTTATCTCCCATTCTCCATATTGAAATCAATGAGTACACACCAGTGCCTCCAGATCCATCCAACACCACAGGCCTCCTCTTCTGCCTGTCCCCCTTTCTATATTAGACACTCTCTTGTCCAACAGCAGAAGACCTGGCTCCCTTTATTCTTAATAGAATTTCCAATTGTAACCAATCTGTCTTCTCTGTTGCCTTCCCACCCCTGTGGGGATGCCTTTCTATCCTAATCTGACTTCAACCCCTGCACCTCATTGCCTCCACAAATAGACATTCTTCTGGGTTATGATATCCCCACATGTGAATTCCTTCCTGGCACACTTAAATACAAATCCCCACCCTGGACCCTGCCTGCTCATAGACACTGTCATCACTCACCTTGTGTTCCAGCACTCCAAGCCAAGTTGCTTTTCAATGGGTTAACTGTCACCTTCTCCGGCCCCATGTACCAATCTGTTTTCCATTGCTACAACAAAGTGTCCAAGACTGGGTACTGGATAAAGAAGAGATTTTTATATAGCTCAGAGTCTTGGGGGCTCATGGGCCTGGCATTGGCATTAGCTGGGCTTTGGTGAAGGCCTCCTTGGCTACATCCCATGGTGGATAGGATCACGGTGGGAACACATGCAGAGAGATTACAAGGTGAGACAGGAAGCCATGGCCTGGGAAGGGGTCAGGCTCACTCTTTTATGACAATTCACTTTCTCAGGAACTAACTGAGGGTACCATCAGGACTACATGAATGCCTTCCTAGGACAGCACTCCAATGACATCCCACTGAAATCTACCTCATACTGAGATGAAAGCTCCCAACACAAGATTTCTGAGTGGGGGCACACTCAAACTACATGCAGACCATATCACCCTCTTTGCCATGCTATCTTTCCACAGCAACTCTTTCACCCCACTTCCCCAAGGGAACCCTGCCTTCCCCCTACCATGTGAGTGCCTCCATTACCCGTTTAGGCTCTGATACCACTATGACTTTCTCACCCTCTGCACCTCTCCCACCTCTTTCTTTCTCTGAATGAGCAGAGGAAGAGAATTCCCCCATTCACTTCCAGAAGCCTTGATTTCAGACAGCTCTCATTTTTTTCTTTTTTGGCTGTAGGTACTGAAATTTGAGCTCAGGGACTTCCACTTGTTAGGCAGGCATTCTACCACTTGAGCCACACTTCAACATTTTTTTGCTTTAGGTATTTTTGGACAGGGTCTCACGTTGGACCTAGATCCTCCTGTGTGCACTTTGCTCGTAACTGAATGATGGGTACATACCACCAAACCCACTTATTGAGATGGAGTCTCTCGAGGTCTTTCCTGGGCTGTCCTTTACTGCAATCCTCCTGTTATCTTCCTCCCAAGTAGCTGGAATTACAGGCCTGAGCCACCATGCCTGACCTTATCAGGCAATTCTTACATCCTGCTCATTGTCACATATTACTGACTTAGTTGGAAAAACTCTTTTGAGGCCAGAAACGATGTCCACTCCATCTTTCATTGCCAGGCTTGAGTGAACACTCAAAATGCTCTTTGGAGCATGAAATGAATGGAAACTTGCTGTCTCTACTCTAATTCCCATTTCAAACCTCTCAAATTCCATTCTGGGGATAAAAGCGTCTCAGTCCCAGACTGGATCAATCCTCCCATCTCACTCCAGCCAGCTGCTGGAAGCAGGAACAGCTCTGATCCCTTTCTGCCCAGGGAAGAGATTTCCCACCCAGCTGTCACAGCCATATGACACAGGAACTGAGAGAGAGGCCAAGAGGGGCAGGAAGAGTTGGTAAAGGATTGAGATCATCAGGAGACTGGGCTGCCTTCAGAGAGCAAGATCGAGGGGCCATTTTGACACCAAGGCTGCCTGAGCTGTACCTGCCCTCCATGCAGTTTCCCATGGGCCCTGCCTGCATCTCTCTGAGGAGGGGCATCGCTAAGAAGCAACGGGTGAGGGGGGACGATGCTGTGCAGGGTGAGGGGAGCTACAACATGGGGAAAAGCAGGGGGCATGCTGGTGCAAGGGAAAAGGGGAATGAGTGCAGGAAACATGAACTGAGAAGGCAGAAGAGCCCAGGGAACATGGAGGGTCCTGAGGGCCAACAAGGTACCTAGGTGAGAATGAAATCAGAAAGTCATTAGCAAAGGAGAGGTAGTGGGAAGCAGGACAACAATTAAAGGGGAACTGGAATGGTCTCACTATTGAGATCATTCTTTCATGTGGACCCTCAGAGTGGAGATGATGATAACAATACCTGCTATTCACTAAGTCTTGCCCAGACCTGTGCAATGGGCTTTACATGTCTAATGCCATTTAATCCATAGAAAAACTTGTGAGTTTCATTCCCATTTCACCAGTGAGGAAACTGATTCCTGAAGTCCTTTGTTTAAGCTAGGAAATAGCTAGGAGAAGTCTTTTAGATTCTTGTGGGCATGTGTTAGTCAGGCTTTAAGACCACCACAAAGGAAAGGAAGGGGACAGGATTGCATGGGAAAATAATAAGAAAGAGAAGCTGGAGAAATGCTCCAAGGACAATGGGAGGTAGGAGGGCAAAGGAGGTCCAGGCTAGGACAGGTGCAATGGCTCTTATCTATAATTCCAGCTATTCAGGAAAAAGAAACCTAGAGGGTGTCAGTTTCAGACCAGCCTGGGAAAATTAACAAGGCCCCATCTCAATCAATAATTTGGGTTTGGTGGGAAGACCCTACATGAAAAGTAAAGCACAAAGGGTTGGAGATGTGGCTCAAGTGGTAAAGTGCCTGCCTAGCAACATGAGGCTGTGGTCAAACAACGCACACACAAAAAAAGGAAGGTAAGGGTTAGTAGAACTTCCCAGGTCCTGTGCCAGGTATCAAAGCTCAGTATGTTCTGATGTGTCCATGAGTAGGCAAGGTAACAATGACTAGAAATTTTCAGAGGTTTTAGGAAGTGGTCTTGCTGGCACCGAGCACCCTGCTTAAATATCATTGCACAGTGATCCTTACACAAAGGAGTTCTAACCTTTGGGAGGAAGAATGGAGGTGGCTGGGGAAAGAGCCAATGGTGCTTTGTGAAAGAATTCTGACCAGGAAGTCAGGAGCCCTGAATTCTAGCCCTAGTCCTGCGCCTGTCCTGTTGCATGACTTCAAGTGAGTATTAGTCCACACCCCCCAGAAGACGATCATCCACTTACGAACCTTTAGTAAGTTCCTCCACCTCTCTTCTTTGCCTTCCTCATGGGTAAGGTGGAAATATTTACTTCACAGAGCAGTTCTGAGGTTTAAACACAGCTCAGCACAGAGTCAGCCCTCTGAGCAGATTACTTGTGATATTAAGTCACACTTTCTCCATTTGCAGGGGAAGACTGGACTGTGTGGTGTTTCAGACCCCTCTCAGAACATGAGGAGTGTCTGTCTTGGAAAGGCAGGTGGGAAAGATCAAAATTCAAGGATGGGAGCCAGGCACAGTGGCTCATACCTTTAATTTCAGCTACTGGAGAAGTGGAGATTTCAAGGAATCTGAAAAACAACCAAAGCAAACAAGGGCTGTTAATGGGTCAAGTGATAGAGTTCATGTTTAGCAAGCAGAGAGCGCTGAGTTCAAAGCCCAGTACTTCCAAACAAAATTCAAGGGTGGGAAAGAGGAAATGAGAGGGCATGAAGAAGAAGGCAAGGAACTATGCAATACAATGAGGGAGATGAAGGATGGAGGAAGAGCAGAAAGAAACAGACAAAGGTGTGGAGAGACTTGGGGTAACAGGGGACATGTTTGAAGAAGTGGGTGTTGGATTCCTGACTCCAATTCTTTCTCCCATGTATTCCTTTCCAGGAAAGACCCCTGGGACAAGATGAAATTGAAGGTAACTCCTTTTCCAAGTTCCCTCCCATAGCCATCTACACACTTACCCTGTTCTCCATCTCTTTGTGCCTGTCTGAAAATTCCTTCATGGGAAAATTTCACATCCTTTCTCTTCTCACACAACCACAATTTTGTGGTACTTGTTCTCGTGCAGTTTTAACTACTGCCCTCATCATGTTTTTAGAAAACATGCCCATCCCTATATGTTTCAGAAAGTCAGGGGATACACATGTATTTTAGGAAGAATCTAAAATTGTTGGATTTTCTCCCTTGGTGGTTACCAGGTTCCTCATAATTTCACCCAAGAAATTTAAAGATTTCCATATTCTATTTAGCAGTCTCAGTTGTCATTCCTCTTGCTACCACATCTTATACATCACGCCTTTTTGAAATGCTTGGCTTTTTAAAATGTATTATTCTCTGAAGAATGTCTAGTCAGTGCTTCATTGATAGTTTCAAGGGATATCTCTCTTCCACACTGACTGCTACAAGTTGCCCCAAGGTTCTTCTCTCTTGACTTCCAGAGCTCTGGGCATCATTTCTTGAGTTTGACAAGGACTGTGATGGGCTCATCTCTTACAAGGACTTGGGGAATATCATGAGGACCATGGGTTACATGCCCACAGAGATGGAGCTGACTGAACTGGGTCAGCAAATCCGCATGAACTGTGAGACCAGGGGCTGAGAGGAGCGACTGGGGTTAAGGAAGCACTAAAGGTGGAATTGGGAAGGAGGTGGATGTTGAGATTAGGTATGGGATTAGAGAGGTGAGAAAGAGGAATAGAAGTCTGTATTGCCTTTAGGGAGGCAGTGTTTGAAGTGGTTTGAAGCGTGTCTTGTAGAGAGAGAGATCTGGGTTCAAGCCCCAGTTCCTATATTTGTTCATCGAGATCATTTTGAAAAGTGGAGTTATAACCTTCTCTTGTGCCTGTGTTCTTACCCTTCATGTGAGGATAATATCACTCTTACAGAGAAAAGAGGTAGAGATGCCCTTATAGGCAAAAGCATAACCTCTAATGAGTTTGTATTAAATGTAGGTTATTATTCTGACCAGTAAGGCTTATTTATCAGGGAAGTACAAGATTGAAGCTATGCTGGTGTGGAAAGCAATCATTGAGTCACATCTAATTTGGTGATAGTATTGCATGAAGCATGAACTTTTAAATGGAAGCCAATGCTGATTTGACATTTAACCTGGAATTAAACTGCTAACAGCCTTGCTTTGGGGCATGTAACTTAGTTAACAACATTGAGTTCCAGGTGACTATAGTATGGTCAGTCTTCTTTATCTGCCAGTCCCACATCTACAGAATCAACCAACTGTGGATGAAAAATATTAGGGGAAAATTGTGTCTGGTCTGCACATGTTCAAACTTTTTTCTTCTTGACACTAAATAATACAGTATTGCAGCCATTTACGGAGTGTTTACATTGCAGTAGGCATTATAAGTAATCTGGAGAAGACTGAAAGCATGTGGGAGACTTGCATAGGCTATGTGTAAATTCTGTGCCATTCTATCAAAGGGACTTGAGCATCTGAAAATGTTCATGTCCTCGAAGGGGTCCTGGAACCAATACCCACCAAGGGATGATTGAATTCATACCAGAAGAGAGTCTGATGCACATGAAATTCAATCTGTCTTTTCTACAGATGTACGGATGAGGAAGCATGGGTGTTAACCAACTAAGAGATGTTCTGAAGGTGGTTGTTACTCCACACCCTGTCCCTTTGGTTCAGATTAAAGGAACAGAGGGGCTTGAGTTGGATGAGTAGAGAGAGGAACTCCAAGGAAACTCTTAGCAGGGAGATGGAAAGTGACCTACTCTCAAACTGATGGAAAGTGAGCAAATGGAAGGTTCAGGTTATATGGTGTCCCACTAATCACCTCTCTTCTGCCCTCAATGGTTTGCCATGTGGACTTTGAGGACTTTGTGGAATTGATGACCCCTAACTTGCTTGCAGAGACAGCTGGGATGATTGGCATCCAGAAGATTCCAGATGCCTTCAGGGAGGTGAATTGAGAGCCCTATGGTGCTAGTAGGGTAGAGAAAGACCACAGAGATTTGTTATTAGCCATCACCATGGACAGAACCCACCAAAACTAATTTTATGTGTAGCAGTGGTGGGATGGTGGAGCAGGAATATAACATCATTCAAAATACTTGTGATGGACCAGGGCCTCTGCATATCTCATCTGATTTAACCCTCACAAATTAAGAGTAAGCAGTCATTTATTCCAGTCATGTGGATGAGGAAAGGGAGGAGGCTCAAGAAGGTTATGAATGTTATCCAACATTTTACATTCTCTGCAACAAGTGTTGGAACTTCTAACCTTGGTTCCTTGTAATATGAAGGAGGAACCCAAGAATTTGAGATTTCTCAGAAAGGATCTCAATTAAATCATCTAGTTTAATCCAGATGATTGTTATAGAAGTGCTAAAAAAATAAAAATAAGACCGAATATCCGTGAGATTAAGGAGCCTGCTTATATGCCCTGATAAAATAACTTCCATCATCCATGGAGTTTCCACCATGCACAGTACAATTAAAGTAGTATAGCATTTGGAAGCAAAGACATTGGAACCAGGCAACCTTCATTCCATCATGAGGCTTTGGAGCCAGGCTCAAATCCCAGGAGATCTCTGTCTACTCATTGTATAATTCTCTCTCTCAACTCTGTATAAAGATTGACAGGTGTATTGTTCAAGAGATCTTTATGTCGCCATGGAAATACTCTGTCCAAAACAGTAGCCCCTGGCCACCCTTGGCAACTGAACCCTTGATATTTGCTAGCGTACCTTTAGAGCTGAATTTTTTAAACTCCATTTCAGTGGATTTAAATTCAGTTTTTTATCAATTTCCATTGATATTCAATTGAATATGAATTAGTACTGAACTACAATTCATTTAAATTTTAAAAATGAATGTTTGATTCAGCTGTTAGAAAAGTTTTCCTTTCAAACACCTTGTGTGTGAACACTGACCTTTTCAACTATAAATTTTGTGACAAAATCTTAATGTAGAACAAGTGTTTGTGATTGAAAAAGGTAGTATCTGAGTTGACAATTGCTATAAGTGTATAAATTGCAGGATCAATACTTATTGTAATTAGTGTTTTATCACTGCTCATAGGTAAATGTGTGTGCTAAAAATGTTACCTATGTTTGTAAGTACATATTAAGTAATTAACATTGTGACTTACAAAATGCAGTGAGCAAAAAAGATTATAAACATTGCATGGCTAATATTTTCAAGTTGACAACAAACCGAAATAAGTTTTGATATATCAACATAAATAATATTGATTGTTAAAAGTTCATTTTACATTTTTTCACATTTTGAGGGTGCTGGGAATTAAGCTGAAATCCTTACATGCTTGTTTTTTGTTTTTGTTTAGGACAGTGTGTGAGCCCACGGTGGACTTGAACTCCTGATTCACTTACCTGTGCCTCCTAAGTGCTCAAATTACAGGCATGTACCACCATGTCCATCCTCTTAATTCCTTTTTCTTTGGGTTCTCAGATTGAACCCAGGGCCTTTCATGTCCCTGCTACCACTGAGTTGTACTGCTCACATGTTCTAAATGTACTAGAAAATACTTAATATAATCTTTGAGGCACATATTATCTTTCTCTTGTTCAGAGCTGCTCTAGGGAAGCAGATTTGGGGGAATGTGAGAGGAAGCTGCACACACAGAGGCTGTAGGGCAGGAAGGCATCTGTGGAAGGGCAACAAGCCTGAGTGCTTGGAGCCCTGTGAGCTGGAGAGGGCACAACATGAAATAGCCAAGGTCTCAGGCTTGCAGAAGGCACAGTCAAACCACCTGGGTGTGCAGCAGTGTTGGGATTTTCTTCTGTTGGGATAGGAAGCCAGAGGAGGGTTTTAAGCATCCGAGTGACAAGGTCTGAGATATATATCTATATATATCGATATATATAGATATATATCGATAGATATATATATATGCTTTATTTAATTTTTTTATTTTCAGTACATTTTTTATTATAAAATTTTTTGTTAGGATGTATTCATTATATAGGGGGATTCATAATTTCAGTTAGGCTTATTTTGTTCATTTGTTAGATCATCCCCATCTCCTCCTCAAGCCCCACCCCACCCCACCTAAAGCAATTGCAAGAGTTTTCTTAGTTCTGTTTCATATAGGTATATGAAATCCATCAACCACATACCATCATCTTAATCTCCTTCCTTCACCCTCCCCGTAGTACCCTCCTCCACACTCTATCTATTTTAAAGTCCTGTCTTTCATTATTAATATTTAAGTTGATGTTCAAAGGGGATTTTCAAAGTATCCCTGCTGTAAGTGTACTTTACTTAGGTCCGTTCAACCCCTACCCTTACTCTCTCTTACGTCTTGTGTCCTATCTCCATTTTTCAACAGCTTTTTTTTTATTCATATGTGCATACAAGGCTTGGTTCATTTCTCCCCCTGCCCCCACCCCCTCCCTTACCACCCACTCCCCCCCTCCCTCCCCCCTCAATACCCAGCAGAAACTATTTTGCCCTTATTTCTAATTTTGTTGTAGAGAGAGTATAAGCAATAATAGGAAGGAACAAGGGTTTTTGCTGGTTGAGATAAGGATAGCTATACAGGGCATTGACTCACATTGATTTCCTGTGCGTGGGTGTTACCTTCTAGGTTAATTCTTTTGATCTAACCTTTTCTCTAGTTCCTGTTCCCCTTTCCTATTGGCCTCAGTTGCTTTAAGGTATCTGCTTTAGTTTCTCTGCATTAAGGGCAACAAATGCTAGCTAGTTTTTTAGGTGTCTTACCTATCCTCACCCTCCTTGTGTGCTCTCGCTTTTATCATGTGCTCAAAGTCCAATCCCCTTGTTGTGTTTGCCCTTGATCTAATGTCCACATATGAGGGAGAACATACGATTTTTGGTCTTTTGGGCCAGGCTAACCTCACTCAGAATGATGTTCTCCAATTCCATCCATTTACCAGCGAATGATAACATTTCGTTCTTCTTCATGGCTGCATAAAATTCCATTGTGTATAGATACCACATTTTCTTAATCCATTCGTCAGTGTGGGGCATCTTGGCTGTTTCCATAACTTGGCTATTGTGAATAGTGCAATAAACATGGGTGTGCAGGTGCCTCTGGAGTAACCTGTGTCACAGTCTTTTGGGTATATCCCCAAGAGTGGTATTGCTGGATCAAATGGTAGATCGATGTCTAGCTTTTTAAGTAGCCTCCAAATTTTTTTCCAGAGTGGTTGTACTAGTCTACATTCCCACCAACAGTGTAAGAGGGTTCCTTTTTCCCCGCATCCTCACCAACACCTGTTGTTGGTGGTTGCTATGATGGCTATTCTAACAGGGGTGAGGTGGAATCTTAGTGGTTTTAATTTGCATTTCCTTTATTGCTAGAGATGGTGAGCATTTTTTCATGTGTTTTCTGGCCATTTGAATTTCTTCTTTTGAGAAAGTTCTGTTTAGTTCACTTGCCCATTTCTTTATTGGTTCATTAGTTTTGGGAGAATTTAGTTTTTTAAGTTCCCTATATATTCTGGTTATCAGTCCTTTGTCTGATGTATAGTTGGCAAATATTTTCTCCCACTCTGTGGGTGTTCTCTTCAGTTTAGAGACCATTTCTTTTGATGAACAGAAGCTTTTTATTTTATGAGGTCCCATTTATCTATGCTATCTCTTAGTTGCTGTGCTGCTGGGGTTTCATTGAGAAAGTTCTTACCTATACCTACTAACTCCAGAGTATTTCCTACTCTTTCTGTATCAACTTAGAGTTTGGGGTCTGATATTAAGATCCTTGATCCATTTTGAGTTAATCTTGGTATAGGGTGATATACATGGATCTAGTTTCAGTTTTTTGCAGACTGCTAACCAGTTTTCCCAGCAGTTTTTGTTGAAGAGGCTGCTATTTCTCCATCGTATATTTTTAGCTCCTTTGTCAAAGATAAGTTGGTTATAGTTGTGTGGCTTCATATCTGGGTCCTCTATTCTGTTCCACTGGTCTTCATGTCTGTTTTTGTGCCAGTACCATGCTGTTTTTATTGTTATTGCTTTGTAATATAGTTTGAAGTCAGGTATTGTGATACCTCCTGCATTGTTCTTTTGACTGAGTATTGCCTTGGCTATTCGTGGCCTCTTGTGTTTCCATATAATTTAACAGTAGATTTTTCAATCTCTTTAATGAATGTCATTGGAATTTTGATGGGAATTGCATTAAACATGTAGATTACTTTGGGAGTATCGACATTTTTACTATGTTAATTCTACCAATCCATGAGCATGGGAGATCTCTCCACTTTCTATAGTCTTCCTCAATCTCTTTCTTCAGAAGTGTATAGTTTTCCTTGTAGAGGTCTTTCACATCTTTTGTTAGGTTTACACCTAGGTATTTGATTTTTTTGAGGCTATTGTAAATGGAATTGTTTCATACATTCTTTTTCAGTTTGCTCATTGTTAGTGTATAGAAATGCTAATGATTTTTCTATGTTGATTTTATATCCTGCTACCTTGCTATAGCTATTGATGATGTCTAGAGTAGAGTTTTTTGGGTCTTTAAGGTATAGGATCATGTCGTCTGCAAATAGGGATATTTTGACAGTTTCTTTACCTATTTGTATTCCTTTTATTCCTTCTTCTTGCCTAATTGCTCTGGCTAGGAATTCCAGTACTATGTTGAATAGGAGTGGAGATAGTGGCATCCTTGTCTGGTTCCTGATTTTAGAGGGAATGGTTTCAGTTTTTCTCCGTTAAGTATAATGCTGGCTGTAGGTTGTCATATATAGCTTTTATAATGTTGAGGACTTTCCTTCTATTCCTAGTTTTCTTAGAGCTTTTATCATGAAATGATGTTGGATCTTATCAAAGGCTTTTTCTGCATCTATTGAGATGATCAAGTGGTTTTTGTCTTTGCTTCTGTTAATGTGGTTTATTACGTTTATTGATTTTCGTATGTTGAACCACCCTGCATCCCTGGGATGAAGCCTACTGGTCGTGGTGAATAATCTTTTGATGTGTTGCTTGAATT